TCATTTGCAGACATGGGGATGACAGTATGAATTGAATGAGATATGAAAAGGATACAACTCTTGAGAGCAGCAGTGTGGTGTAGAAATAGCTTAGGCTTTTGTGTTAGAATGCTGTTCAGATCTATCTGAGCCAGGGACAGAGGTGGGCACATCACTTGAGCCCTGGAGTTCAAGACCACCCTGGGCAACATGGTGAAACCCTGTCTCTACAAAAAATACAAAAATTAGCTGGGCATCATGGCACACGCCTGTAGTCCCAGCTGCTGCTCAGGAGGCTGCAGTGGGAAGATCCCTTGAGCCCAGGAGTTTGAGGCCAGCCTAAGCAAAATAGCAAGACTCCATCTCCAAACACTCTTAATAATAATAAAATGAAATCTCCTCACTGGCCCCCATTAGCTGTGGGTTTCTGGCTAATCAACTTACTGCCAGGTACATGAGGCATTTGATAGGTGACAGTTATCAGAAACTCAGCTGGCCTCTCTCCCCCAGCCTAGTCAGTTACCCCAGAGAGCAGCTGCCTCCTGTGAGTGCACATCCTGAGATGATCTGCTGGGGTGGATAGCAGGTCATCCGGGAAGGGCCATATGGGTGTGAAGAGCTCAAAGTAGCCAGACTTGCCACACACCTTGCTGACTCCCACACCACTCAGGTGCCTCCAGCTGGGAGGTCTGCAGAGGGTTTGGGGAAGGGCAGCTTACAGGGAGCCCTGCTTCCTCCCACAGTTTTTGGTATAGGGGTAGGAGGGAGGGCGACAGCATGGGTGGCTTCTGAGCCTGTCAGTGGCGTAAGAGTGCAGGGGCAGGTCTCTGGTGGCTGGTGACACTGCAGCGGAAGTGGCAGCAGCACCTGGCATCTTCCTAAGTGTGTTCTCTTTCATGAACCTTGTGACCCCTCACAACACACCTGTAAGACATGCAGGGCTAGAGCCACTCTCCCCATGTGACAGATGAGAGAACAGAAGCTGAGTCCAACACAGCAGGTCAGGCAAGAATTCAGGTGCTTGACTGCCTTCCCTTTCTCTTTCCTCGGGGCAGGTCATGGCAGCGACACACGGGGTCGGACAGGCAGAGATAGGCAGCAAAACCACTCAGCAGAGTAGCTGCTCTCTGTATGCCTGTTTGGTGGTTTGCTCTGTGCCAGGCTTCTGCTGAGCAGTCGTATCTTTCCCGTAACATTGACAGCAACTCTTAAGGGGTTGAATTGAACCATCCTTTACATATGGGAGCTGCAGCCCAGAAGGGTTCAGCTCGAGGCCTCACAGCTAGCAAGTGGTGAAGCTGTTTGCACATAGGCCTGGCCTGCCCTCTATGCCCGCCAGCCCCTTGACCTCAGGCTGGGGCAGGGGTGCGGAGGGTGTTGGTCTTCCCTGTCCTCATATCTGTAGAACACATCCCCTCACCCTGCCTTCGGAGGGAGGCCAGCTCTCCCTGGAGACGGACTGCCACCTGTCTTATGAGAGGTGGCAGAGGCCTTATGGAGCCTCAGGGCCAGTAGCTCTGACACAAGGCTCCCTCTTGAAGATGAAACCTTGCTCTTTTTTCCTCCCTCACCCCAGGTGGAATTCCCAGAGGCCCGAATCTATGAGGAGACACTCAACGTCCTACTCTATGAGACTCCCCGCGTCCCTGACAACTCCTTGTTGGAAGCCACAAGCCGTAGCCGCAGCCAGGCTTCCCCCAGTGAAGATGAGGAGACCTTTGAACTGCGGGACCGTGTCCGCCGCATCCACGTCAAGCGCTACAGCACTTACGACGACCGGCAGCTCGGCCACCAGTCTACCCATCGTGACTGACCAGACTGTCAGGGAGTCAGAGCACAGGAAGCCCTATCTCCCATCCTGTGGAACCCCGCCCCATTGGCCACCCCATGCTGCTGCTGGCTGGGTCTCTGCTCCAGCACTCAGAGAAATGACAGGCCCTGCTTGGAGGTCAGAGGGTCCAGAGAGGGGAGGGACCACATTCCTCTGCCCTGCCCCTGAGCATTTCTGGATGACTGAGTCCTGTCCTGTCTGCTCACCATCGCCCTTCCTGCCTGACAGGGATCTGCTTCTGCTCTGGGGTGAATGGACAGACCCACCTCCTGCTGAGAACCTTCCCTGCCCAGGCCCTCTTTGGAAGGGCTGCTGCCCCTTAGGCCTCAGTTGAGGCCCACAGAGAATGGGTTCATTCTCGGGGTAGGTGGCTCCTGGTGCTGTAGGGGCCCAGTTTCATAACAGAAGGTGGGACATCTTTTTTCCTAAGGTGTTTGAGCACAGGCTTGATAAGTTTGGTTTTTTATAAATAATCTAGGAAATTAATAGTTCTAAGTCTAATAATGAGGAAGCTGGGCATTTCTTTTGCCCTCCAGGGTGCCAAGACCCTGTATATGACAGAACCCATGGCCCTTCTCCATGCCTGTGGGATCTGTTTCTTTAAAGCACTTTGTACTGTTTTTCAGGAGGTTGATATTCTCCCTGACCCACATCTTTCTACCCTAATCCCCACTTCCCTGCAGAATCAATCTGAGGGAGGAGATAAAGAGGAAGCAATTAAAAAAAATCCAACAGAGCAGCTCTGGCTTTGCCAGCCTGGCTAGCAACTCAGAGTGTACCAAGGAGGGAAGGATGGCTAAGCTGGGACCTGTGGTCCTAACGGTGCCTGTGGGAAAAGACATTCCCCACCCCCCAATTTGAGTCACATCACTGACCCCTAGGTGTAGCATGGCTGCTCTTTGTCATTCACTTGAGTGCCCTTGGCTTCCAGCCATGCTGTCCTCACATACGGTAAAGCCAAAGAGCTGTCACGGGCCAGAAACAACAAGCCACAGCAGGAAGACCAGGGAGCCTGTGGGCACTGCAAGGTGTTGGTTGGCACGGCCATTGGCTGAGGACAGCAGTCTCAGAGCCCGGTGTTCCCAGCAGCCCCTGCATAGAGGTGACACCTGCTTGGCCACACATCTACACCCTGCCCGGACTATCCATGCTGTTGGCTTGTCCTGGCTGGGGAGGTGGTTCTGCCCAGTGGTGTCTCTGAAGGCAGAATGAGAGACGGGAGCAACTGAAGCATCTTGAAGGCCTTCGCTCCTTGTTGGGTAACTCAGCGATGGAGATGCCAAGCACTAGCCAGGTGGGTGAGTTCCTCTTTAGGGCTTTGGTTTTCATTCCTTTTTGTTTGGCATAACCAAACAAGAGTTCAGCTTATCTGAATTCTTTTCCAAAGGAATGCTGTCAGGGAGGGCGCTCTTCTGCCAGCCTAACAAAGCAACATAGCCACATACAGTACCCACTTTCCACTCTGGAGAGAACATAGGTTATCAAGTTCATCCCTCTTGACTACTCTTATGATAGCTGATGCCATATGCCAGACCCAGGGTTAGACATTCATAAGGACCTAAAGTGATATGATGGCCGGACAGGGGCAATGGGACTTTCTCATCAGGCATTTTGTTAGTCACAGTCTTGAATGTATAAATAGCACTAAGACTCTCAGGTCAGGTACCTTGGTGATTAGCTACTTGTTCTTCTAGCCCTCATTGAGGTAACAAGATAAAGACAAATCCATTTATTTGGCCAAATTCAGTCTTTGGCTTTGTGGCTTTCCCACAGAGACTGGAATGCATCAGCCTAAGACCACTGGCCTATTTTCTCAGCTGCCCTCTTGAGATCCTTTAATACTGAAATTCCCAGCACCCCACCGAGGTATTTTGATGCTCGCCTCTGACCTCCCCATCCCCTTTAGTCCCTGCTTACTGCTTTGACATCCACATCCTCAATGTCTGGATCTTTCTTGCCAAGAAAGCACAGTAGCCTGGGAGAGGGCATTTATCTTCTCTGACTGAAAATATCTCCTTAAGGAAAATACTAACATTGAACTCACTGACATGATTTTAGCTTCTTTAATCAGATTTTGTGGCTTAAAAGTTTGGGGGTTTTCTTTGAAAGTTTATAGCTCCATTCAGAAAGCAACTCTTGGCTGTGTGTGTTTTTCAACTCTTAGCAGCCCAGGGGTAAGTAAACAAAAATGTGTGGATTAAGGTCAAACTTTCTTGTCAGTTTCTGAGAAACCTGGCAGCCTCCTGTTAACACAGACCAGTTTTGGGTTTTATTGAATTTGGTATGTGACCAGGGTCGGCCTGGAGGATGGTGCAGGTCATGGGCAGGAGAAAATTTTTCCTTTACCACATAACTGTAATACGTGGTTGCTCAGCATAAGCGATGGAAGCAAACACTAATTTCTAATAAAATTATGTTACACTCAATGGTACAGAGCCATGTTTACAGTGAGCAGGCCTTGGCCAGCTCACAGCCACGGGCCGTTTACCACCTGACCTTGTGTTCTAGCTAGGTCATAAGCGCGACCATACTGTTGCCCTGCAACCCCAGCTCCCCCTGGAGGAGGACTAAGGACAACACTAACAAGGGCTGGAACTGTGATTTAATATTAAGTCCAGAAAATAACCTCTAACAATCCCTGCAGTGGCTGAGAAGAAATCCTAAGAATTGGGGCAAGATGCAGCATGATTTATCTCTGGCTCTTGAACATCTGAGAGAGGCCCAGGAAGTGGCTTTGCTTAGTCATCATCCATACCTAAAGCTGCTCCTTGAGCCACATTCCTGCCTTTGTGGACTGGATGCTTGGCAGAGTCATACTCAGGGCTGGCACACCCCTTGCTCCAGGATACCCGACTGGCTTGCCTCACTCCTCTCCTGGGCCCAGAGAGGCCAAAGATGATAATGGTTGGTCAGTGCTAAGAGCCAGGCCACTCCAACCCTGACACTGGCTTCCCTCTCTGCATTTGGCAGAAGGTAAAGTAAGAGTCCATTCCAGCACCCCACCCCTGCAACTAGCTGAGAGGCACAGTGACCCTGGGAAATGTCCAGCCAGCCTCCAGGCTGATAGGGAAATAGGCACATGCCCTATCAGGGGGCAGCTCCCTGGAAGGGCAGCAGAGAAAGCAATCAAGGGCACCCACTGGGTCAGAAGGGGAGCCTGAGACTCCAGGAGCAGAAATGGCGAAGGTGATCAAGCGTGCACTGGTTTACTGATCAAACCTCACAGGCCAGGAAACTCCTCCAGGCCTGTGGCAGCTGAACACAGTTCCTTGGTGGAGAGGTTTACTGGAACATGGTGTAGGCCATGAGGAGGCTTATGAGGAGTCCAGCCTTGGAGGAGTCCCACATGGGTCTTCTGAAGAAAAGTTATACCACCCCTCCCCCCAAAAAGAACCCCACAATCAAATTAAGAGACCCACTGTGGCCCGTGATGGGGAGGGAGAAGAGTTCTGCAGCAATTGTGGGATGAGACTTGTTCTTCCTGGTGACTGAGCCTGGGCACTTGGAGCCTCAGCTGGCCTACCAGTGAAGGCCTGAGGGTGGTGTCTTCTCATCTTTATTGCTTTCCAGAGAGAAGGGAGGGATCCGAACATCAAAGTGGGAGCCATCAGGTCTTTCGAAGCGGAATGTGCCCCTGCAGGTTAGAGAGTAGGTGGTTTACAGGGAGCCAGAGCTGAGGTTCTCCTAAGGATCTGGATGGCCCTAGGCCCTCAGCTGCCAGCCACAGAGGATGTGTGAGCCTGAGCTCTCTTCTGTCTACCTCATGACAAGATGACTAGTCCAGAGACCCTCATGGTTATCCATGAAAAGAAAAATGCAGCTGTGATGGCTCACGCTTACAATCCCAGCACTTTGCGAGGCCAAGGTGGGCAGATCATCTGAGGTTGAGAGTTTGAGACCACCTTGGCTAATATGGAGAAACCCCGTCTTTACTAAAAATACAAAATTAGCCAGGTGTGGTGGCACAAGCCTGTAATCCCAGCTACTTGGGAAGCTGAGGCAAGAGAATCGCTTGAACCCAGGAAGCAGAGGTTGTGGTGAGCAGAGATTGCGCCATTGCACTCCAGCCTGGGCAACAAGAGTGAAACTGTCTCAAAAAATAGAGAAAAACACAGCTGTCCAGATTCTGGCCTTTTTTTTTTTTTTTTTTTTTTTTTTTTTGAGACGGAGTTTCGCTGTTGTTACCCAGACTGGAGTGCAATGGCACGATCTCGGCTCACCACAACTTCCGCCTTCTGGGTTCAAGCAATTCTCCTGCCTCAGCCTCCAGAGTAGCTGGGACTACAGGCATGCACCACCATGTCCAGCTAATTTTAGTATTTTTGGTAGAGACAGGGTTCCACCTTGTTGACCAGGATGGTCTCAATCTCTTGACCTAGTGATCCACCTACCTCGGCCTTCCAAAGTGCTGGGATTTTAGGCATGAGCCACTACGCCCGGCCCTGATTCTGGCCTTTACATACACACTGCATAAACTACCCAATTGCATTTTCAGGTTAAGGAGTGAAACAGCAAGGAAAAATCCCAACTATATGAGCAACTCTGCAGCATCAAATCACCAGACCGCTTTGGCCTAAGTCCTCAGTCCACCAATCATAAGGAACTGAGAAACAGGCAGTAATAGAAAATCAGACAAGTCTCCCACAACAATAAATAGCAGATAAGGCTCCCTCTAACAATGTCACTTGTCTTAGAGTTAATGGCAAGCTCTAAGCTCTTTCTTTTCTGACCTACAGCTTCTGTCTGTGGAGCTGGGCAGCCCCTGCTGCTGCACACTCACTCACCACATGTGCCCACTAGAAGCCTGCAGCGAGACGTGGCTGCTATACTGGAACGCGGGCTGCTCCTTGGATAACACTGGTTCCTGAAAGGGTTTAGGCAAAATGGGTCAGGCCAAGCCCCAGGGACATGTTTCCTGCACCCCAGGGTTATGTGCTGACTGCCAGTTCATCAAGACTGGATGTCCCCTATCCAGCCAGCACCACAGCAGGCACTCCCACTGCATGGTACACTTCCTGCCAGTACCTCCTCCCACAGCATGGTCATTTGGCCTGGGCCTTTTATCCTGGCTCTGGGAAAGATCATCTCAGACTGAATGTCTGAGGGTGCTGCACAAAGATTCTGGGCAAAGGACCTCCTCTACAGCCTGGAGAACACAGTGAGACCCCATCTCCACAAAAAAGGTTTTTTTTAATTAACCAGGCATATCTGCTACTCAAGAAACCGAGGTGGAGGATTGCTTGAGCCCTGGAAAGTAAGCTATGGTTGCACCACCGCACTCCAGCCTGGATGACACAGCAAGACCCTGTCTCTAAAAACAAAGAACCTACTGTGGAGATACCCCCTCCAGAGACCATTCACACTTGCTAAGTGACAGGTACCATGGCAGGTACTCTGAAAACCTCTGCTGCCTTAATTCTACTGGTGATCATAAGATAATTGGCGTGATGCATATTTTAGCAGTAAGGAACTAAGATTTTGGTTAAATAACTTGTCCAAAGTTATGCAGTGAATATATAACTCAGCTGGAATTTGAAATGACTAGCTAAATCCAAAGCCCTGTTCTTACTCACTTTGCCACCTGCCTCCCAAGTCCCCGCTGACTTGAATAAATGCCTGTTGAATGTGGTCCCTGACACCAGTACTACTTGTGACTTTATTTCTCAGGAGACAGGGCTGAGTAGGCAGGGATTATAAAGTCAGATCTTTTCAAGGACCAGCAGAGGATGTAAACTTGTAAACAGGCAAAGAGGAAAGACCACAGGGAATGGTGGGGGTGCATGCCCCACCTAACAATATTCAAATTTTGCTTTTTAAAAGACACTATACCAGTTTTAAAAACTATACAAGTTTTGACTTCAGACTCACTTGGGTTTAAATCTAGGCCCTACCACTGCTAGCTATGGGACCAAGGGCTAGTTATTTAATTTCTCAGTCTCAGTTTCTTCATCTATGAAATGGGTTTTAAGAAACCTATCTCATGGAGTTGTTGTAAGATTTTTAACCCAAAACAATGCAATGTGTTCACAAAGTGAGCCTCTGTCTCTAACCACAAAGGAGAAGGAAGCCATGCACTGAGTCCCCAGGCTGGCCACACAGAATTACTGGACCAAGGATGCTCACCCTGCCCACTACCCCTCGACCTCGCACTGTCTCCAGGGTGCCGGAGAGACTGAATATCCTCCAGTGCCGCTCCCGGAGCTGTACCACGTCACTGTCAAGGTTCTCCAAACGGATACAGTAGCGCCACTGAGGGGGTATGGGACAGAGTTTAAAGAATAAACTTTGAGTAACCCTCCCAGAATTCTGTGCAGAGCAAAAGTCAACAAAGCTGACATGTGCACTGCACAAGTTCCACTCCCACCAGGAGGTGAGCTTCCCCACCTCCACCCTGACCCCCAGGCACACCCACAAGCTCCCCTTCTCCCCAACAGAAACACTCACCCAGTACACGTGGGAATTCTGAGCTTCCTAGGGAGAAAACAAAGACAATTTAAGTCCTACAGGGCAAGACCAAGTATGTTCCAATCAACATCTCTCCAATGTAGTTGATGTATTCCAGGAAGGTTGCAGACAGACCAAGCTGCGAGTATCTGTGGGATAAGTATGACAGCTGGACCATGGCCTGTAAGCCCACAGGGAGGCAGCATCCCTGTTCCTGGCCTCCCCGCTTCTCATCCCTTCAAGATCACCAAGAGAGCTGGATGCCAACAGAAATCAGCTACAGGACTCTTACCTTTTTCACTGCCCTCCTGGCCAGCCCTGCCTCCTATCACTGCTGCCTTGGGCCCCTATCCTCCTACTGTCTCCCATTACTGTCCCTTACTATAATAGTTTAAGGTAGCCGCCTCCACTTCTATGAAGTCCTCGAAGACAGGAACACTGTTTCATTTACATTCGTATCCAAGCATGCACTGATTATACACACTTTTCTGACTGCAGCTTCTATCTGCTGAGTTGGGTGGCCCCTACCGCTGCACATGCTTACCGCCAGGCAATGTGTAAGTGTGTATAATGTGCAAAAAGTGTGATGCCTACACTGATTTATATTATGTGTATATTCTTCATAAACATGGCTCCCTTTGAGCAAGAGGGAAGAGACAGGATAAAGGACTCCTTCCTGGGACCCATGGATTTCCCTGCCTGCTCTAGGTCTTGGTGTCAGCCATTCTCAAGAGGCTACTCAACCTCACTCAACACATGCCACCACTTTGGAGCAGAACCACAGGAATATGGTTTATATTTAGACTACCCTCCCCCAGCAGTCACCTTGAGGACACCATACAGAACCTGAAGGCCTAAGTCAAAGCTTAGGCCTCCAAGAAGCCTTCCCTGGCCTCCCTTCCACTTAGCACAATGTACAGGAATGTGTTTTATAAATATAAACAAGGAACATGGTTTATATTTAGACCCCCCTCCGCCAGCAGTCACCTTGAGGACACCAAACACCTTGAGGCCTACCCCTGCTAGAAGGGGTCCAAAGGCTGGCCACATACCCTCATGCCCATGTAGAAGGGGATGACAGTGACACGTATGTTCTCAGTTGTTTCCCGGTGAACATCGGAGAGCTCCAGCCACGGGTGATTCTTCTCTTGCCAGGCCCTTAATGTCTCCCGAGCCACAAAAGGGGGTGCTGGGGCAAGATACAACTGGTTAGTCCAGGCTAACAGTCCAGTGTGATTGCTCCTCCTAGAAAACCCTTCCTAGTGGAGGCCCAGGCAAACAGGATGCTCATACATGAAGCAAAAATACAGGCTGGAAGAAGGTACAGGACTGCTACTAAGGACAAGCCCTGAGGAGCTAGTGTAATAATATGGGAAGATAATCGGACTGGGAGGGCTTTCAGCCCTCACTCTGCTGCTAACAACCCTGAGTCACTTGTCATCATCCCTGAGCCTCAGTTTCCATATCTGTAAGGAGATAACAACCATCTGTCAGGTATGACACCTATGAGGTGTAACAGTCTAATAAGAGGTTGAAAAAAGTGTGGAAATAGAACTTTGGAATTTTTTTTTTTTTTTTTCTGAGATGGAGTCTCGCTCTGTTGCCCAGGCTGGAGTGCAATGGCACAATCTCCGTTCACTGCAACCTCTGCCTCCCAGGTTCAAGTGATTCTCCTGCCTCAGTCTCCCGAGTAGCTGCAATTAGAGGCGCCCGCCACCATGCCCAGCTAATTTTGTATTTTTAGCAGAGACAGGGTTTCACCAGGTGGGCCAGGTTGGTCTCAAACTCCTGACTTCAGGTGACCTACCCGCCTCAGTCTCCCATAGTGCTGGCATTACAGGTGTGAGCCACCACGCCTGGCCCTAGAATTATTTCTATGATATTCTTTGATGAAAAGGTCCTCCCATTCCACCTCCCCTTCTTAAGAGATTACCTTTTGTTTGGTCATACAGAAGAAATCTTTCAAAGAGCTCATGTTGGATGGGAACCTGATCAGTGGAGGTGTAGGGGAGGATGTCTTCATGGCTGACATAGTCCAGGCCTGGCACAGAGATGCAAAAGACAATGAAACTCACACAGGAGAGGAGAGAAATGGGGCTGAGAAGAAACATTTCCTGGCCTTGTCCCAGTATGGGATAACCCTGGTATCATACCTCTCAGCATCATAATCCCTCCCAGTGGATGACAGGACATCAGAAGCCTCTCTCTCAGACACACCAGACCCCTTCTTGACAGGCACCATTCAAATACTAACTACTCACCTGGGATGGCATAGAGGGCCCGGCTGTCATCATGGTTAGCCAAGAAGGTCACAGCTTCTGTCTGAGATCTCTGAGACTAAGGCAACGAGTGAATCAGGGCTTTGTTGGCCACTGTGTAGTCCAAGGCCTTGGGGACCAGGACTGACTTGGGCTCTGTTTGACACCTTTCCCTCCCTTTGTCCCCATCGGAATGCAGGGCTTTTCCATGGAGAGGACCCCCAGGCTCAGCCATCTTGCTTACTTACTATATGTGGGCAGTCTCGGGCATCAATCAGCACCTGATAGTAGGTGTGAGTTTTGCCTTTCACCTCCTTAGAGCCATGACCAGCAGGGTTCTCTGCTCTGTGTGGCGAGAGGAGGCCAAGATCACTCCAGGAGAAATGGAAGCTGTACCTGACTCAGCTCCCTACCCCTCCTGACCTAAATGGGCTGGTCCCTGATCTCAAGGGGCTTTAGCACCAGCTGAACACCTATTGTGCAACACCTCAGCCCAGCTGCTCCTCAGCTGGGGCAAACAACAGAGCATGAAAGACCATGGTATGGAGCCACCATCTGATGTGTGGATGCCTCTTAAAAGAAGGGGGCCATACTGAGAAAATCAAATTGCCACCTCAGTCCCCAGGGCCCAGAGTACCCTTGTCTTTTTACATCCCAGGGGCTGTCTGTGATCATTTAATGGAGCTGAACCTTTTCTGTTTTAATGTATTCTAGGGATGATGTGAGATTGAGGGAAAGACTCCAGCTGAACATTAAGAAATGAAAAAGACTTTTCCCCCAAATGCCCTCTAGGGTACGCATAATGAAAATTAGGAGTGGCTTAGGAAGCATTCTTGGGAAGCCTAAAAGGACTCTCTGACTATCCCTGAGCACTCAGCACTTTTATCTCCATGGGTCTTAGTGCCAGAGAGGTACTCTAGGGATGTTTCCAAGGCCCAGGAGGATGCTGTCTTTACCCGTGGTACCCCAAGTACATATGTCTGCCATCTCCTTCTGAGGATACTGTGAGGCACAACGACAGGAAAACTTACTTTTCTGGAGCTGCAGAAGCCACATCCCGGTCATACAGTCTGGCCTGCCAGGGAAACAGGACAACACCTCGGTAGCCAAAAATGCTATGAAGGAAAAGCTGGGAGGAAAGAGGGGCCTCCGTGAGTCTGCAGTCCGGCAAATCCATCCAGGTGGGACCCAGACCACAAAGCAGCACAGGTGGAGGCGACTCCAGTACAAGGTCTTGCTGCCTTTTCCCTTGAAGTCTGATCAACCAGACCAACACTGGAACACTCTTATTTCTTCTTTACCTGGCTAACTGTACTCATCCTTTAGGTCAATGCTCAGGCCTCCAGAAAGCCTTCCCTCACCTCCCTTCCACTTATTAGCACAATGTCCAGCCACTGGCCATTTGCATATCATTAATTCTCTTCTAGACTATAAACTCCACAATGGCAGGAATCATGTCTACTTTGCTTTCTGATTTAACCCTAATACACAATGCCTAGTCCATTGTAGGCACATAGAAAAAAAAATGTTGAACCAACAAAAAGTTTTCCTTACCTACAATGTCCTAGAAGGGCCTAAACCTATCCCAGTGGACCCAGAACAAAGCTGATGTAGAAAAAGAACCACACACTCAGAGTTTACCACACGGCAGTCAGTTTTATTATGGTAAAGCATCAAAGGTTTACTTTTCTGAAAGCTTCCTCCACTGGCTTCCCACCATCCACTATGTTAGAGAAGTCTTTAGCAACTTGACCAAACCTCACTACAGTCCACACTAACTTGGAAAGAGAACCCAATAACACATCAAGTGCATTCAAATCTAGGAGAACAGAAACCCCATCTATAAAAATTTGATTCTGGTCTGGCACCAAACATCAAGATACAATGAATAGAAAACCTTACCATGTAGGCCTATGACCCAATCTGACTCCTTTCAGAAGCAGAGCACTATATGAAAATGAAAGACGACCCAGCCCAGTACTCACCTGCCCAGTCTCATATTTTCCATTCTGTTTTGGCACCTCAAACACACCGACTGTCTCCAACACTTTGCCCTCTGGTCGGTTTCTGAGTAGGATGGAAAAGAACAAGCAACAAAAAAGCTGAGAAGTTAATGGTTACCTATCCATCAGAAAAAGCTCCTGAGGATACTGAGGGGCCAGGGCAATGACAGCAGAGAAGGGTTTGGGGTAGTGGGGCCAGCTGGAACAGGAAAGGCTTTCCCCCTCCTTGGTGAAAACCTCCCCAATCTCCCACTGTTAGATGTGACTGCCCCCATATTACTGCCTTCTCTATCCACATGGCATTCTTCATATCATGCCCTCACACTCTGCTCAAATGTACCCCTGCTCTTGTTTCTTCCCTAACCTACCCTCTTGACCTCCCATAGCACTTTAACTATCTTGCTCACTTTTTCTGGAAGGGAAACATCTTTTTTTCTTCTTTCTTACATTTTTTATATCACAAATCATCAAGCAATATCCTGCCCACTTTACATTTCAGTTGTGTCCGTGCCTTATCTTTACTAAAGACTGTCAGTTCTCTGGGAGCAATGCCTGAGTCTGATTAGCCGGTACTGCCCCCTTAGAGCCTAGTGTAGAAGAAGGGCTCAAAAAATATTTGTCCTGTATTGTAATTCTATGTCCATCTCCTCCTCTAACCTGTAACCTTTACATTGCCCTTGAAAACCTTAATCATCTCTAGATTTCCTACTGCACCCAGTGGTCTCTCAATATTGTTTTTGTTCATATTCTCACAGGGGTCTTAAATTGCAAACAGCTATGATCTCTGGCCAGGGTCAGTATCTAATATCAGCCACGAAAAACTCAGCACTGTCAGTCACCACTCTGAACAGGGTTGCTCTTTCTAGGAGCACTTCAAATAAAGGTTGTTTCTACTGTTTTTAAGATGTGAACTTTATGCTTCCTCCCACTGATTCCTTAGCCCGTTTGATCCTCTTGTCCCATCCGCGAAGACACTTTCCACACCATCCCCATGGCTTCACATCCTTTTCCCCAAGTCACCTATAGAAAATCGATCTCCCCAGAGTCACTTGGAAACCTGCGGCCTACAAGGGTCCACACACCCAAGAGTCTCATTTCCCACCTCTAGCATCTTTCTGAGGGAGGCCGTGACCGAATCCGAAGGCTGAGGGTTCAAACCAAAGCCCTAGGGCTAAATTTAAAAGCTGCCCTCCGATAGCGGTGCTGGGAACCCCAGCAGGGGAAGTACGATTCACTCGGGGAGGGTAACGTGTTCCCCCTCGGAGCCAACCCCGCACAACCAGGGCGCTGGGCCGCGTTGGCTTCCCTGCCCCTGGCACATGTCCCAGACAGCGCAGGTCGACTCCCTGCTCGGGACCCTCTCCGGGATCAAACTCCAGTCCCCTTCAGCCGGTCCGGACACCCGGTCTCCGCACTTGCCGGGAACACGCTCCCTGGGCTACAAGCCCCGTCCCCGAGGCCCCTGGCTCCGTCCCTCACCGGGACGAGAGGTGCCTCCGCGTCGTCGTGCTCGCCGCTGGCGAGAAGGCCCCAGTGCCAGCCTCCGCACAGAGCGGCCTGGGCCACCGGGCCCCAGTCAGCGACCGGGACCACCAGCGGCTGCCCACGGCTAGGGCCCGCCGGGCTGCGCAGGCTGCCATGTCCCGCCCGAGCGCCCGCCGGGCTGCTGACACAGATCCCTAACCTGAGGCGGGGCGGCGTTCCGCCCCCGCCCCACACTGCCCCGCGCCGCGTCCCCGCCCCCTTGTCTGCCTGGTCCCACCCCGGAACTCAGAGCTACTTCCGGCGCGCGGCAGATGGAAGTCCCGGTTGGGGTCACCTGACTCAAGAGTCGGCTAAATATGGCGTCCTCTTTGGTAGCAGGTGAGCGGTTGGTATGTGCTTTGAGCCCCGGCGGGGAGCTGGAGCCTGATCGGCTACCCCGAAAACTGCGGGCCAAACTAGAAGCCGCTCTGGGGAAGAAGCACACGGGCGGTGACAGCTCCAGTGGCCCCCAACGCTTGGTTTCTTTCCGTCTGATCCGGGATCTGCACCAGCACCTGAGAGAAAGGGGTGAGCCCCAATCTCCAGTCCGGGGTCGCCTCCTTGTTTCCAGATCGATTTCTTTCTGAGGTCTTTTCCTGTCACTCCCCTTCTTCCACGGAGCACTCATCTAGAGAAGCGAAGAGTCACCTCATAAATCCCAGGGCCACCCACTTTCTTACCTCCCGTGGGAATTCCTCGTGGATGATAAATTTGCTTATGCAGTTTCTGCTCTCTTGACAGCCCCCCTTCACTTCCAGGCATACCTAGGCCCAATTGACTCTTGAGAAAGTCTAGGTTTTTACTAAATACTAACATCACAGATTCTGTCTCTTTTTCTCCACATTAGGAATCAGCTCAGCATAGTGAGCTTGTAAGAATCCGGATTTCTTTCCACCTTCAAAGCAAGAGTGGCAAAATCTGATAGTTTTGTTTTGTTTTGTTTTTGAGATAGGATGGGAAAAGCTGTGTTGAAAGATCTGGCCTGGGAGTAGCATGTGAGTTCTAGTCCTAGCTCTGTCACTAATCCCTTGAAGGAGACATTTCTCCTTGTTGGGTCTCAGTTCCCTTATCTGTAAAAGGAAGGAATAGGACAAACTGGCACATAAGGTCTTTTGCCAGAATTAACATAGACTAGCCAGAGTGCAAAGGGTAGATGGCTCAATTGTTACAACTAGAGAGGACCTTAGAAAGAGATTGCTTAGTATTAGTGTCCTCTGAGCATTTAGCATCACTGTGACCTAAACCTGTTTAGGGAAGATCTGTGTGGCCACAGAAGTGATCTAACCCGAAAGCACAAGTAAATGGCTTCACTGCTAGTCTGACGAGATAATTGAGAGCTGATAACTAAAGTCAGCAGCGCAACACTGGGAGATACCTATATAGAATTATCCTAAATTCCTTTCAATTGAAAATGATCTTGGAAATGAATTAATGTAGAGATGGCCATGTTTTATTTTGGTAGAAAGAAGGGCTAGACCCCTCTTGTTCTTAACCCTTCATCCTCAGCTCTGTGGATCACTGTGTTTGTGAAACCTTTTCTTCTCAGATTCCAAACTATACCTCCATGAGCTCCTAGAAGGCAGTGAAATCTATCTCCCAGAAGTTGTGAAGCCTCCACGGGTATGTAAGTGATACGTTTGTGAGAATAAGTATTGACTGAGTTGGGCTTATTCATGATACGTTGAACTTAAAAATCAACTTTTAGGTTTGAAAATTTGTTTTTTAAATCTTTGGGACCTGGGGGAACAAGATATTGTCCTCCCCATTGACTGACTGTTTGGAAAATTGAGATCCAAAAAAGAAGCAAGCAGGTTCAAAGCAGTGTAATATGTGGGTCTCCTGATACCTTTAGCAGTGAACCAATGATTGTGATGTGCTTTCTAACAAGCTGGGAATATCATTCTTCTCATTTGGTTTTTCTGCTTCAGAACCCAGAACTAGTTGCCCGGCTGGAGAAGATAAAGATACAGCTGGCCAATGAGGAATATAAGCGGATCACCCGCAACGTCACTTGTCAGGTAAGGGCCTGCTCTTCAGCACATGGACTAAGTAGGCCCTCAGAGTGAGACCCTGCACTGGAAGAAGGTACAGAGGATAAACAAACATGGAAACTTGGTTTGTATACTGTTCAGGGACCATAGAAGCTCTGCATACAAACTAAATACAGTTCCCATCTCATTCACTGAGCCCTGGCAGGGAGCTGGAGCGTGAGCAGCTACCTGGAAAACTACAGGCCGAGCTAGAGGCCACTCTGGGGAAGAAGCACACGGGTGATGATAGCTCCAGTGGCCCCCAACACTGAGATGGTGACCAATTCTTAAATATCATAAAAGTGGGGCCGGGCATGGTGGCTCACGCCTGTAATCCCAGCATTTTGGGAGGCAGAGGCGGGCAGATCACAAGGTCAAGAGATCGAGACCATCCTGACCAACATAATGAAACCCCATCTCTAAAAAAAAAAAAAAGAAGTGGGAATGAGGCAGCTGGGTGCAGTGGCTAACAGCTATAATCCCAGCACTTTGGGAAGCTGAGGTGGGTGGATCATCTAAAGTCAGGAGTTCTTGACCAGCCTGACCAGTATGATGAAACCTCGTCTCTACTAAAAATACAAAAATTAGCCTGGCATGGTGGCAGGCACCTATAATCTCAACTACTAGGGAGGCTGAGGCAGGAGAATTCCATGACCCCAGGAGGCAGGGGTTGCAGTGAGCCGACACTGCACCCTTGTACTCCAGCCTGGACAAGAAGAGTGAGACTTCATCTCAAAAAAAAAAAGTGGGAATGAGTCTTGGAGCCTTTCTTCCTCCTCTTCTTCTTCCTCTTCTTCTTCTTCCTCTTCTTCTTCTTCTTCTTCTTCTCCTTCTCCTTCTTCCTTCTTCCTTCTTTCTTCTTTCTTCTTCTTTTCTCTTTTTTTTCCTGATGGAGTCTCACTTTGTCACCCAGGCGGGAGGGCAGTGGTGGGATATCTGCTCACTGCAAACTCCACTTCCCGGGTTTAAGCGATTCTCGTGGCTCAGCCTCCCGAGTAGCTGGGATTACAGGCATGTGCCACTACACCAGGCTAATTTTTTTTAATTTTTAGTAGAGATAGGGTTTCCCATGTTGGCCAGGCTGGTCTTGAACTCCCAACCTAAGGTGATCCACCTGCCTTGGTCCCCCAAAGTGCTAGGATTACATGGTGAGCCACTGCGCCCGGCCATTGGAGCCTTTCTTCTGACAGGACTCCCTACTATTCTCTTGCATGCTCCTATCCTGGAACAGGAGAGGAGTAGATGGGTAATGGCAGCCTATGTCCTCTCTCTGAAATGCTTGCTCTGTGGTCCAGAAAAAGAGTCTAAATCGTTCGAGACAAAAGAATCCATGGAGAAGGCAGAGTTAATGTATTGGGCAATAGAGAGGGCTGAGCCCAGACTGACAAATGGATGCTCTCTGAGCTGCTTCTATTCCGAAATCATCTGCTTTTTCTTTTTCCCAGGATGCAAGGCATGGTGGGACTCTCAGCGACCTGGGAAAGCAAGGTGAGGTACTGAGAGATCAGGCCTCTAAAGCCTTTTCCTGAGATGGGTTATAACACTCAGGCTTGCTGTTTGACTGGAACCCAGTTGGTAGGGGGTGGCAGCCGTGAGATAAGAGCACCTCCTAGAGAATGTTGAACTAAAGGTTTTCTCTCTGGCTCCTCCCCAAAGTGAGATCATTGAAGGCTCTGGTCATTACCATCTTCAATTTCATTGTCACGGTGGTAGCTGCCTTCGTCTGCACCTACCTTGGAAGCCAATATATCTTCACAGAAATGGCCTCGGTGAGTAGCCACTGGGCAGCGCAGGGTGCCCTAGGTAGGGGTGTCAGTGGGGTAAGGAAGAACATATGTAAAGTGCCTTGTACAGGTTAGGTATTGAACAGATATTTATTCTATTAACAAGGGGCGCATTGGAGCTTTCCAGCAGTCATGGGGGTGCAGGGGGTAGGTAATAACCCCAGAGGAAGCCACATTAACTTTTCTTCCTATTCTCCAACTTAGAGGGGGATTGGGGGCTCTCCATAAGGTGCTGAGGGTACAGAGCTGGGTGTTGACCTGTATCCCTTAAGCTTGGTTCTGCCTACCTCCAGCGAGTGCTGGCTGCATTGATCGTCGCCTCAGTGGTGGGTCTGGCCGAGCTGTATGTCATGGTGCGGGCAATGGAAGGCGAGCTGGGAGAACTGTAACTGGTGCTTCGTCATCAAGCCTGGAGAAGACTTTGGGGGCTCCAGGTTCCCAATTCCCGGTTGCCAACTCAACCCCTCAGACTTTTTGTACTCAGGTTCGGTTAGTCAGAGGACCAGCCCAGGCCACCTGCTGTTTCTGTGGGGAGCCCAGTCTTCTCTGAATTTCCAAAGGGAGCAGTGGAGGAGATTGAGATAATACATCTTTAAAACAGAAAAAACTCATCTTGGTCTATCAGTACCTTTTCCTGAATCCGGTACCTACCTGCCTTCTCCAGCCCATTCTAGACACTGTTGGGACTAGGGTTTTTCCACCAGGAGCAGTGGAATCCAGGCCTTGCCAGAAGACATACTGCCTTGAACTTGTCCATATGTACAAACTGATCACCAGCTTTCTCCAGACGTGTTTTTTTTTTTTTTGAGACAGAGTTTTGCTCTTGTTACCCAGGCTGGAGTGCAATGGCGCGATCTCAGCTCACCGCAACCTCTGCCTCCTGGGTTCAGACAATTCTCCTGCCTCAGCCTCCTGAGTAGCTGGGATTACAGGCACGCGCCACTATGCCCAGCTAATTTTTTGTATTTTTAGTAGAGACGGGGTTTCACCATGTTGACCAAGATGGTCTCGATCTCTTGACCTCGTGATCCATGCTCCTCGGCCTCCCAAAGGGCTGCGATTACAGGTGTGCGCCACCGCGCCCGGCCTCCAGATGTTTTTAATGCAGACCTGTAATTGAGTTCAGAAGCCTCCAAGAAAACAGAAAGGATCTTCTTTCTCCACTTTGTGCTGGAAGAGGAACTGATCAGAGGATAGATATCAAATAAAAGAAAGATGGGTTGCTATAGGATGGTGGAACTGGAAGCAGGCAGCTACCTTTTTGAAAAAGGAAATGGTATTAGGCCCCTTTTCCAGAAGATAAGACAGACTTATAGAGATCAACTGACCAGCTGTGGTCTTTCCTCTGTTACATGGAGCCAAAGACGCCTATGTTTTCCTGAAGTCTTGTAATGTTTAACTTCTGAGAACTTAGTGGTGTGATGATAGAATCTGTGTAATGCACTGAAAAGGATGTCAACCTTAGTTATTTATCCAATAAATATTTATTGTATCCAAGGTATTCTTATTTTAACTCCTGTGACAACAAAGTACAACCATTTCCATAGTTCTAACTGTTCAGGGTCTGCTCCTCATGGTAGACTCTCTTTTGTTCATTGTATGTACTCCTGTCATCTTTTTTACTTTTCCAAAGCACTTTCCTGTTTTAATAAATTATATACCCATTAACTCAGTAGACACTTCCTCTACAATGTTTGTGAGTTTCTGTTAGTTGGGAAAAGTGTCAGCTGTGTGAAGAAAAAGTAGGTGGCATTTTACAGTGTTTCCAGTAACCTGAGCTGTATAAAAGTTGTGTTAAAAAGCCACACTGAGGCCGGGCGCTGTGGCTCACACCTATAATCCCAGCGCTTTGAAAGGCCAAAGTGGGTGGATCATAAAATCAGGAGTTTGAGACCAGCCTGACCAACATGGTGAAACCCTGTCTCTACTAAAATGCAAAAATTAGCCATACATGGTGGTGCATGCCTCTAATTCCAGCTACTCTGGAGGCTGAAGCAGGAGAATGGCTTGAACCCAGGAGGCAGAGGTTGCAGTGAGCCAACATTGCCCCATTGCACTCCAGCCCGGGTGACAGCTAGACTCCATCGCAAAAAAAAAAGCTATACTGGACCAGGTGAGTTAGCTCATGCCTATAATCCCAGCATTTTGGGAGGCTGAGGTGGGCAGATCACTTGAGGTCAGGAGTTGAAGACCAGCATGGCCAACATAATGAAACCCCATCTCTACTAAAAATACAAAAAAAATTAGCCAGGCCTGGTGGTGCATGCCTGTAATCTCAGCACTTTGGGAGACCAAGGCAGAAGGATGGCTTGAGCTTAGGAGTTTGAGACCAGCCTGGGCAATGTGGTGAAAGCCCATCTCTACAAAAAAATGCAAAAATTAGCTGGCATGTGGCACACACCTATAGTCCCAGTTGCTCAGGCAGCTAAGGTGGGAGGATCACTTAAGCCTGGGAGGCAGAGGTTGCAGTAAGCTGAGTCCCCCTGGAGGACAGAGTGAAAAGAGGACAAAAGAAAAGGGGGACGGGGAATCAAATGCCCAGTCCTCCACTTCTCAGCATGTAGAAGGGGGGGGTCTCTCATCTCCTAGCCACTCCTGCCTCACTATGCCTTGCTTTCTCTAGTGCACTCTGGGTCCAGGGACTGCTTGGCAGGTGGCAGGAAGAACAAGAAGCTTGGGGCCTCCTCAGTTTTTAGGGCCTGTCTGGAGAGGGAACTAGTATTTGCTGAGTGTTTTGCAATATGTCACACACCATGTAAAGGCCTTTACCTACATGATTTCTTATACCTAAAACAGAGAGCAAACAAATATCCCCTTTTTTTTAGTCACATAGCGTTCCAGAGTTGCCATGGTTACATAGCAGAGTCAGGATTTGAATCCAGTGCAGACTGCAAACACTATGGTTCTCTCTCCGAAGCAGAGCAGCTCTAGAGGTGGAAGTAACTGGAGTGTTCTAGACTCAGTGGGACCAGGAGCAGGGGGTGCCAGCAGAGGCTCTCATCTCCCCAGGGTCTGTCAGTCAGAGCTCTAAGCCCTTCAATTAACTATCCCTCTAATCCCAGCAGAAGCTTAGGTAATACCTCCCACCACGCATCTGTGTGGAACCTGGCCCTATGTAGGGATTAGGTGATGATAAATTTCCATGGCAAATGGCCCTTATCCCCATTCATTTGCAGATCACAATTCAGATTAAGTTACAGAGTGTGGGTTTTATTTGGAGATTAGTTGGTATTACAGATGATGGTGATACCAAAATCTAATGCTGCTGTGCCCGCCTGCATCCCAGATCTGTCAGGTTGTCTCCACAGCCCCACAGCAGAGGGCAACCAATCTGATCTTTGTGAAAATTAAATCAACGTAAGCCCCGGCCTCCTATCTTTGCTTTATTTAATGTCACTCCCTCTTCAGATTCATAGTTCTGATTAATTTGTCCAGGTGGTTGGCAGTCAGGAGAGGGGGTCCTGACCCATAAGAAGGTGGCTCTCCAGCAGTCTAGATTAGGAGCAGCACTCTCCTCTCCTAGCTCACTTAGCAGTTAGCAAGGTAATGGACTGGAGAGACCTCAGGAGACAGGAGGCTGCTCCTTCAGAGGGAGGAGGTCATCAGACCGTGAGAAGAACTGGGGACCAGGCCTGACAAGTGGAGGAAAACAGCCCTCACCTCAACCTTCTGAAGGTACCTCCTGCCACAACGATGGGCATATGCCCCAGAGGGTCTGGGGTGTGGGGTGGTAGGAGTCAGACCTCAGTCTGCATAGGACCTGCATCTAGGCTGGCCTGGAGTCCTGTGTAAGGGAGGATGCCTGAGCTAAACTCCCTTCCCATAGGGAACTCCTTTGGGTAAAAGGTGGAGGCAGGGGATCCACTTACAATGTGTTCAATCCTAGGAGGGCAGAGGGGGCCACAGGAGTCTGAGGAGGGGTCTTGCAAGTTCTAGACCAAGACCAGGAGTGGTCCACGTTGGTGACAATGGCCGAGGCATAGATGAAGTCAGACAGGTTGCCTAGTGATGTCCGGGGAGTAGCTTGCTCTAAAGAAGGGTGGACCCCTGAAGCCCCAGCCAGTTCCCATGGGGCTCAGCTTTAGCCCCTTCCCATCCCTGCTGTGGACCCAAGCTAGGAGCTGGACAGGAGGTGTGTTGACATACTGAGGTGCACTGAAGTGTGCCACTGGAGGGTGAAGGCCTGGCATTTGGGGATCCCAGGGCAGCTGGAGGGTGTCTAGAAGAGAACAGGAGCTCTGGGGGGACTCAGGCCTGGGGCCTAGACTTCTTGACTTCCTGTTCTTGATTCTTTTGGCCCAGTAGTTCTGGAACCACACCTGCTAAGAAAGAAGAAGGGGTCTATTCTGGCCCCAGCATCCCCTCCAGCCAGGGAGAGGGAAAACAATCTGAAGGCAGGCTACCCAGAAAAGGGGCTGTGGGCCAAGCCCAGGAGTTGGCTGTATGAGAAGGGGTCACAGCTCATCTGTATCTTGGCCTCAGGAAGATGAGTGACCCGGGCCAAGTGCTCACAGGTGCTGATGTCAGGGTAGGGCCATGCTGCAAACACCCTCTCCAGCTCCAGCAGTTGCCCTTTGCTGAAGGCGGTCTGCTTTCTCCGGTGGGGACCCAACCTGCTGGCACCACCTGCAGGCCACGGTAGGGGATCAAGCCAGAATCAAGCCGGGATTCCCTGCAAGAGCCTCCACCCAGCCTCAAAACCCTCAACTAACCCTGAAGTCCCTGCTCCCACCCCTCTTCAGCCTTCCCTCATCCCACCATGCCCCATGTCCTCACACTGCTCACACTTCCCCCATCAGATCACCTGCTGGGGATGCATCCATAGGACTGGTCATGGAGCTCGCAGAGGGTAAGGAGCCAGAGGGCCATGCCAGGGCAGTGCCCACACGAGACCCCTCCATTTGGGTTTTATCCTGCTCAGGGTGGCTGGCCCTGCCTCCAGCAGGGGAGAAGTTCAAGCAAGGCAGAGAAGTCTCGGGGGAAAGAAGGGAGGCCAGAGGCCGAGTTGGGCTTACGAGGGTACAGGTGGGCAAATTGTGTAGCCCCTGCCCCTCCGGGGCCTCACAAAGGAAACTGGACCCAGCCTCCCTCCTCAAACCTCAAACTCTGGCAGTCTGTACTTGAAATAGTATACTTCATGAAGATTATCCCAGGGCTCCTTCCAGGAAGCCAAAGAAAACCATCTCCAGTTCTCCCAGGGCACTGGCTGTCCCTTCTGGAACCCTTAGTGCTCTGGACCTGACTGCCTTCAGGGTAGAGAGGGTAGAGTCCTCTCCCACAACTGGGGACTGAGGTGGTGAAGTGGGCCAGGATGAGAAGGATGGTGGAGTGACAACAGGATGAGTGGGAGCCACCTGCTGTCAGCAGGACTGTGGAACAGATGTCACCACCAGATTGCCCTTAGGTCTGCTTTAGAGCTTTGCCCGCATCTAACCCTTTCTCCCTCTGGCCCCTCAAGAGCCAGATGGACTTCCTGGGGTTCTGAACCTGGAACCAGAAGAGGTTCCACAGATGCAGTTGAGGGGTTCTAAGAAAGATGATAAAGATGTTTATTTGTACAGTATTCTCTTTCTTAGACATCTTCTGAGCTACTTTTTCTTTTCTAATTTAAAATTTTTTATAATTTTATTTTTCTCTATCACCCAGGCTGGAGTGCAGTGGTGTGATATCTGCTTAGTGCAGCCTCAACCTCCCAAGCTCAAGAGATCCTCCCACCTCAGCCTCCTAAGTAGCTGGGACTGCAGGCACGCACCACGATGCCCAGCGAACTCATTTTTTGTAGAGATGGTGTCTTGCTATATTACCCAGGCTGGTCTCAAACTTCTGGGCTCCAGCAATCCTTCCACCTTTGCTTACCAAGGCGCTACAATTACAGGCATGAGCTACCATGCCCAACCAAAAATTTCCACATTTTTTGGTGTGTGTTTTGTTCTGCTTTTAGAGACAGAGTCTCATTCTACTGCCCAGGATGGAGTGCAATGGCACAGTCATAGCTCACTGCAGCCTCAAACTCCTGGGTACCTGGGCCACTTTTCTACAAGAAGTGTGTGCTTTTGAATTTCTCTTCAGTTTCTGCCCTTTGCTATCTCTCCTGGTCTTGCTGCTCCCCATCCCAGACTCTAGACAGAGACTTTGAGAAAGGCTCACCCTAGGGGTGGGTTTGGGGAAGCACAGTGACTGGTTCCCCAAGTGCTCAGGAGCCTGAGCTACTGTGATTTCAGATCAGGATGGACAAAAAAGCTGAGCTAGATCCCCATGACCTATTGTCTGTTCTCTCTCCTCCAAGACCCTAGTCAACTCCAAGGGGCAAAGAAAGCCTCACCCAGGGAGGGTAGCCTGGTAACTCTGCATCATCAGAGGGGTTCAAGTGCCTGCTTAGTTGCTGGTGGGTTACTGGGGGCTGCTTAACTCAAGGAAGGGTAGCTCAGGAGGCCCTCTCTAGCCCCAAACTTCAGTTCACAGGTCCTGAGCCCAACATGGATTGGACACAGCGAGGCCCTTCTCTGTTCCCCTTGCCAACTCATTCTGAAAGCCCAGCTTCCTCTCCTTTATCCACGCAGGGAAGTGTCCACCCCAGTCAGGACAGTAGTCTTAAACTCATGGCTAAGGGACCTTTATTGGGCTGGGGGAAGGAGATTAGAGGAGGGAGCTACAGAGGGCCTGGCCATGTGGGCTCTGACTCCTACAGACGGCCAGGAGCTGGGCAGCCCAGCCAGTACTGAGCGATGGAGCGTGGGTAGGGAGGGTCCACAGTGTCCACTCGCCGTGTGCGAAGGTTGACTCGGTAGTACTTGTCTGGAAGAGAAGAAAGCAGAGGGTGTGTGAGGCCCAGCCAGTTCCTGCCCACTCTTTCTTTGAGAAGAAAGTCTAGGGTATCTTCCAGAAGGAAAAGTAAATATCCACCATGCAGTTAAGGACTCCTGGCCTGGCTTTCTGTGATCACTACCTGCAGCCTGTATTCAGCCCCTGTGGACCCGGGACAGCAAGGAAGACCCAAGCTAGACCAGCCTCGGGGGTGGCAGGGGCTCCTACCTCCAGAGAAGAAGAAGACAGTCTGGATGGGTTCACAGGTGGCAGGCACAAGCCAGTCCATCCCATCATAAGAGTTGATTCCCAAGTCACTTTCATCACTGGAGAATAAGGACAGCCAAGTAGCTCGGGATGGCCGGCGGGAGTTCTGCTGTTGGCCACGGCTACGACCTCGGCGTGAACGGTAGCCTTTGCGGTTGCGATGCTTAAACTTTTGCTTCTTGGCCAAGGAGGGGCGGGGTGCTATGCCTGAGACGTAGATGTGGCCAGCCATGGCTGCGTCCACTTGCTCTGGCACACCGTGCCACTCCTGGCTGATGAACTGGGGTTGTCTGGTACCAGCTGTGGCAGGGAAGGGGTGAATGAGAGGTCTTGGGGGTCTGAGTCTTGGCCCCTCCAGCAGGGCCATTAGAATTCATCTGCTGCACCTTGCCCAAAGACACACAGCAGCTAATGGCAGAGCCCAGCAGCCAGGCCTTTAATTCTCCGTCCAATGCCCTTCCCCCTGCACCCTCTCCATAGTGTCTCGACCCTAGGCCCCCTAAACTCCTCAGCCACAGCCCCTCCTCTGCTGGCTGTACCCTCAGCTGTGCTAGGCAAAGTCCAAGGTGTGGAGTCCAGGTGGAGCTGAGTTTCCCCCAGAAGGTCAACAGAAGCAAAGTCTAGCCTGAGCAAATAGCCTTTGATCGATAGCTCCACAACCACAGCCCCTCCAGCCAGCCTGGCTCTACCGCTACACAGGGGTTCCAGCCCTTTTGAGGGAGAAGCAAGACTTGCCCCCTCTCCATACCAGAGCTTCTACCCCAGAAGAGAAGCTCGAAGATGTCCTCCCAGCTGTCCCGCTGCATCATGGCAAACTGCTCAAACACTGCCGACAGGGAGCTGCCTTCACATTCCTCCCGACTGGGCTGGTGCTGGAACTGGTACTCCCAGTACTGTTTCCCTGAGGAGTGGGGTGGTGGGCATTAGGAGGGCTGGGCCAGAGCAAGACTGGAGGTCCCAGAGGCTGTTGAAGTTAGGAGCTCCCACCATGAGGTGGGGTAGGGGTTGGGCACACGCTGAGGCCTGTCCCCAGTGAAGTGTGAAAGGAATCTGAGACTGCTCTGAAACCTGCCCAGGCTCCCACCCGCCCCCTGGGTACCTTTGAAGAAGTAGACCTGCTCCCGGCCACTGTAACTATGGGCAGGGAGGGCCAAGGCTGCATCCACGTTGTCCGGAATGCCATCAAAGCCGTCAGAGATATTTCGGGGGTAACCAGGGTCCAGGACACCATCCTCAAAGCGCCAGTACTGACTACCCTAAGAGGGAGGGAAGGTGAAAGGAGGTATGCAGGGTGCTGACTGGGCACGAGGCAGAGTCTTTTGCCCTGAGGCAGCCGTTCCCAGCTCCAGGTTCTCTGCCCAGGACCTGGAGTCTTGGGACTGCCCTGTGCTCACAGAGCCCCCACAAGGTCCTGCAGGGCCCAGGTCTGGGAGCAATAGCTCTCAAACCCTCCCTACATGCTTTCTACCTTGACCCACAGCCCCTGGCACCTTGAAGAGGTAGGTCTTCCCCTGACAGTTGATGCGGGTGAAGGCGGCATCGATGGGGCCCTCAATGCCCCAGACATCTCGGATGAGCTTGGGGTATCCAGGCCTTACTGCCTTTTCATCCAGTTCATAGCAGTATTGCCCTAGAATGGAGGAGGTGGTGTGAGAGTGGGGATGCTCGTGGGGCAGACCCCCATCCCCAAGACCTGCCCTTGGAATCACCTCGGAAGGCAAAGAGGGAACCGTTTTTGAGGTCAGTGAAGGCATCAAAGGGTTTCCCGCTGCACAGCTCCTCCTCTGCTAGGGTCTCAGAGGCCCCTTGATCAAGGGTATCAAGGCTTGAGGTCATAACAGGTGGGTGCTCAGGATGCCCTTCAGGCTGGGCCTGGAGGTCATGGGTCATGGAGGGCCCTCCTGGCTGTGGATGCGTGGTGGTGGTGTTTTTGTTCTCCTCATCATAGTCACTGACCCCGTACTCATCCTCCGGCATGACAAACACATCCCCACGAGTCACTGCAGAGAGAGTGGAGGATAGTGAGTCTCCAGCTGCAGGGAGGACCCCAGCCTACCCGCCTGGGCTCTGAACACACCTTGGGGCTTGCACTCAGTCATATAGTCCATGCAGCAGCTCTGGTAGTAAGAGCAGAGCTCGTCACACTGACACTTCTTGTCGGGGTTGAAGCCCTCGGTGCAGCGATACTTGCAGGAGTCTATGAGAAAGGGGTGTCAGTCGGTGCCACCAAGCCCGGGCCACCCTCGCCCACCCTACATAGATTCAGACAGCCGCCAACACCCTCCTGTACCTTGGTCAGCCAGAGCAACCCATGCCAGCAGGGCCAGCATGAGAAGGGGTCTCAGGGGTGCCATGACGGGGCTTCTAGCTCAGTGGCTGGCGAGCTGGGCTCTGATCTCCCTGAGGTCTCTGCTCTGATGCCTGAGGAAGGGAGGGAGAGGCAGAGACAGGGAGGGAGGGGACTGGAGAAGAGGAAATGCCTTTTCTGCCTCTCTGTTTGCTCAACCTCCAGCCCATCCCCCTCTGCCCTCCTCCGGCAGCTGCTGCAGCTAAGGGTCACATTCCTGAAACACTGGGTCTGGGAGAGCTGGGAGATAAGACCTTTGCCAAGCTGAGAATCATTAGGTCATCAGAAGAGGGAATTAGCACAGTGGGTCTGGAGGGCAGAAAGAAGGATCACTGGGCAACAGCTTTATCTCTCTGAGTCTTAGTTCATTTCAGTAAAGTGGGACAAACAAAGCCTTGCCTCATGGGGTGTCGGGAGACTACATAAACTAGAGCAGACAAAATGCCCAGTAGCTGGAGCAGCCACAAATTCCTTCTCCAAAAACGGCTATTGATCCATGATTGTTTGATCAGACACATCCCTGGTTGGGTGTTCATTTGCTATTGTTTATTTAGGGCAGAATAAGGGAGTGGGAGGAGAAATTGTAAGCACCCTGGGGAATTTTCTTTTTTAGCATAAAAGAACAAAGTTTTATTTCTGGGTTCTTCTCTTGGGTGCATCAATCTCCCCAGGCTGGAAATTTGGGTAAATATCAACCCTCTGGACTGGATTTGATTTCTGAGTCTTTTCACTTATTCTGAGCAGGCCACTCCCTGTCCCCAGCCTCAGTCTCCCCATCTGTAAAGAGTGGGCTTGTTCAGCACACTTTTAGGCTCTCAAGAGAAATATGATCCCTCTACCTGGAAAGTGCCCTCTGGCACAAAACACCTAACTTTGTGCCCAATTTAAGGTATCCACAGAACTTCTGAAGCCCTCCCATCACCTGAAGGAAGTGATGCTAAGATTTTAGCTGACGTTTTCTGTTCTGTAATCAGAGGGAATTTTGATTTTGGCCAATCTCTTCACCATGGGCTTCAGTCCCGTCATCTGTGGAATGGACACCAATCCCCACCTGATAGGCATGTTATGAGGTTTCGCTGAGAAACAGGCATAAAAGGGTCTTAAGAGTTATGATGATTGCTTTAACCATTTAGTAGGGAGGGGGCACACAGCGGAGTTGCTCCCACGTACCGGTGTCACAGGGGGCGGGGGGAGAACTGAGACCGTCCTCTCACTCTCCACCCCCTTAGTCCAAGTCCAGCGCAGAGAGAGGCGGCTGCTACTGAGGGGCTGGGGGAGGTTGGCCGGGGCGTGGGCGTGGCTGTGACTGGGGCGGCTTGGGGGTGGGGCTGCCCAGGCAGTGGGAGGAGCCCTGCGGGACCCAGAGGCGGGGCGTCGCGCGGCGACTCCGGGGCGTGGCTGCTGCTGAGCATCTCCCAGCCCCAGAGGAGCTCCTGCCGGGGCCACGCTTTGTTCCAGCCGCCGCCTCCTCTACCTTCCGGCGTCCAGAGCCATCCCTCGCCTCCTCGCTCTCTCCTTTCGTCCACTCCCTGCATCTGGGTCCGCATCACCTTTGCTAACCGCTGAGCCCCCGACCCCGCCCTCACTCCTGCCCCAAACTTCTGGCCGGCGCCCTTGCCTGGTACCCTTGTCTCCATTCCACTTCCTCCATCTTCTTCTCCCGAACCCTCTGGGGTTTGGGAGGGTTCTCTTTTCCCAAAGCCGGGGTTTCTCCGAGCGCCCCTAGCCTCCAGGCCGGGGATGTCCCTCGCAGTCCCGCGCCCATGGTCCTGACGCTGCTCCTCTCCGCCTACAAGCTGTGTCGCCTCTTCGCCATGTCGGGCCCCCGGCCGGGCGCCGAGCGGCTGGCAGTGCCAGGGCCGGATAGGAGCGGTGGCGCGGGCCCTTGGTGGGCTGCGGGCAGCCGCGGGCCCCGAGAAGTGTCGCCGGGGGCAGGGGCCGAGGTGCAGGACGCCCTGGAGCGCGCGCTGCCGGAGCTACAGCAGGCGTTGTCTGCGCTGAAGCAGGCGGGCGGCGCGCGGGCCGTGGGCGCAGGCCTGGCCGAGGTCTTCCAGCTGGTGGAGGAGGCCTGGCTGCTGCCAGCCGTGGGCCGCGAAGTGGCCCAGGGTTTATGTGACGCCATCCGCCTGGACGGCGGCCTCGACCTGCTGTTGCGGCTGCTGCAGGCGCCGGAGCTGGAGACGCGTGTGCAGGCCGCACGCCTGCTGGAGCAGATCCTGGTGGCTGAGAACCGGTGAGCGCGCCGGGCCAGGGTGGGGAAAGCGTCGTGTGGTGTTGACTGTCAAGCGCCTGGGTCTCCCGTGTGTCTCGCGCCGTGCCTTTGCCTGCCTAACCTCTCTTGCCTGCCTGCGCTACATCTCTCTTAGGGATCAGCCTGTGTGTTTTACAAATGAGGAAACTAAGACTTGGGAAAGTTTAGTGACTTGCCCAGTGGGTCACGGTGAACTAATGGTGCAGCCAAAATTTACTCCCAGGGCTAGTGGGGTGAGGAATGGAGTTGCGGACAGGAGCCCGTCCCTGGCTCTATGGATGGAGATGGCATTCTACTGCGAATTCTCCCTCTCCCTTGCAAGCCCACAGCTCTCCTGCCCACTGGCTTGGGTGCCCTTCTATGACACCTTCCCTCCCCATCATCCCATCCCTGTCCCACTGGGAGAAGAAGGGAACACAATGCTCAGAAAAGAGGGAGGGAGACTTCTCCTTTCCCTCCTCCCCAGCACTCAGCAATGAGAACTGGCCTGAGGCTGCCTTACTCCCTTCTTGCTGCCCCAATCCACCTTCTGCTACATCCTTCATTCTGGTTCTCCTAACAGGCCAGACATGATCTCATTCTGCGGCTGCTGATGGGGAACAGAAAGTTTTCTGCTGGGAGGCTTGGGGGGGCGGCAGGGCGGGGAAAGGATACCGGAGTGCAGAGCCAGGCAGGGACCAGGCAGAGTGTGTGTTCTCTCCCTCCGCCCCACTTAGCACCAAGATGCAGCAAGAGGGTCAAACAGGCCTGTTGCCACTCTTGCATGTCTCTTGGGATCTCTCCTGGAATATGAAGACATCCGAGGATTCACTTTCCCTCCCTTCTGATGCCAGAGCAGACCAAGCTGTCACACTCCAGTCTCACGCTGAAGTCTGAAGCTTCTCAAGCTTAGAAGTTTTTGGAAGAGTCACTTTCAGCTCATGCAGCTCTCACAAGTGTGAAGGGAGTGGGTTAGGGGTGTTTTCCTTGCCATTTCAAACAGAAAAAATTACCTTGTGATTGGTGGAAATGATACAACTGTCAAAAATGCATGAATGTAGGCCAGGCACGGTGGCTCACGCCTATAATCCCAGCACTTTGGGAGGCCGAGGCGGGTGGATCACGAGGTCAAGAGATCGAGACCATCCTGGTCAACGAGGTGAAACCCCATCTCTACTAAAAATACAAAAATTAGCTGGGCATGGTGGTGCACGCCTGTAGTCCTAGCTATTCAGGAGGCTGAGGCAGGAGAATTGCTTGAACCCAGAAGCGGAAGTTGTGGTGAGCCGAGATTATGCCATTGCACTCCAGTCTGGGTAACAACAGAGAAACTCTGTCTCCAAAAATAAATAAATAAATGCATTAATGTAGTAGTTTAGGTTGGGAGACCAAGATAGGGTTCTGCTTATTTGGCAAGCCATTAACCTCCCGTCTGATATCCGGTGTAGTGATGGAGATAGGCCATGAATTTGGAGGGGGTAGCAAATAGAATATGTGCTCACTGGGTGTGGTGGGGTCAAAGCTGGTGGGTGTGCTATACAGGCTTGATATATAGAGTCAGGTAGCTCTAACTAGAATCCCTGGAGAGTGAGTACAGCCAGCACCCCAAGGAGAGGACGGCTGCAATATGCGAATAGTACTGCTAAGTCTCAGGGTTAAAAATGACAATCCTCACCTGGTGTAGAGTTACTGAGAGAAGAGTCACTAACCAGTGTCCCTGGTCCCAAGAAACATCACGCTGGTTGCTTCAGTACCAAGGACAGAGCACAGTGTGCCAGGTTGGCATCACAGTCCTTCCAAAGAAAGGAAGGGTCCCTGCTGGGCACGGTGGCTCACAACTATGGGAGGCCAAGGTAGGTGGATCACCTGAGGTCAGTAGTTCAAGACTAGCCTGACCAACATAGTGAAACCCCATCTCCACTAAAAAATACAAAAATTAGCTGGGCATGGGAGGTGGAGGTTGCAGTGAGCCGAGATAGTGCCATTGCACCCCAACCTGGGCAACAGAGCCAGACTCTGTCTCAAAAAAAAAAAATCCAAAAAATTTTTTTAGACTGAGTCTTGCTCTGTTGCCCAGGCTGGAGTGCAGTGGCACGATCTTGGCTCACTGAAACCTCTGCCTCCCGGCTCAAGCGATTGTCATGTCTCAACCTCCCAAGTAGTTGGGATTACAGGCACCTGCTATGACACCCAGTTAATTTTTATATTTTTAATGGAGACAGGGTTTCACCATGTTGGCGAGGCTGGTCTTGAACTCCTGACCTCGGCCTCCCAAAGTGCTGGAATTACAGGCATGAGCCACTGCACCCGGCCACATTAGATATTTCTTAAGCACATCCTTGCTCTGATATTCTAAGAATTTATGTAGTCAGGTGTTTGGAAGCACAAAGTGAAGATGAAGGATCTTGAACTCTGGAAACAGGCAGATCTGGCTTCAGATCTCAGCTGTGCCTCTCAGAAGCTGTGTGGCTCTGGGCATGTCATGTAACCTCTCTGAGTTTTGGCTTTTTCATTGGTAAAAGGAGTAACTGGGCCAGGTGAGGTAGCTCATGCCTATAATCCCAGTGCTTTAAGAGACTGAAGTGGGAGGATAGCTTGAGCCCAGCAGTTTGAGACCATCCAGGGCAAGATAATGAAATCCTGTCTCTACAAAGTAAAAAAAAAAAAAAAAATCAGCCAGACATAGTGGCACATACCTGTAGTCCCAGCTATTCAGTCGGCTAAGTTGGGAAGATTGCTTGAAACTAGGAGGTCAAGGCTGCAGTGATCTATGATCATGCCACTGCACTCCAGCCTGGGTGACAAAGTGAGACCCCCATCTCAAATTAAAAAAATATATACAAGAGTAGGAAATAGCTGTCGTTCCAGCTGCCTCTGTGGGTGATTAGGACCCATCTGTTTTTTGAAGATGGGCTGCAGAGAAGTTGTGGGGTCAACTTAGGAAATCTGTGCCAGCCTAAGGCATGTTTGGGACTCAGCTAGGTTCTGCAGTGGACATAAAATCACATGCAGTATGGTCACTGTGGTGCCCGCTGGCCAAGGACTCTGTTGCTGGCTGGACCTCTACCTCTTTGTCACCTGTGGAGGACATCTTTTTTTTTTTTTTTTTAGACCCAGTCTAGCTCTGTAGCCCAAGCTGGAGTGCAGTGGCGTGATCTCGGCTCACTGCAACCTCCACCTCCCAGGTTCGAGAGATTCTCCTTCCTCCCAAATAACTGGAATTACAGGCACCTGCCACCATGCCTGGCTATTTTTTGTATTTTTAGTATAGATGGGGTTTCACTGTGCTGGCCAGACTAATATCGAACTCCTGACCTCGCAATCCACCCCTCTTGGCCTCCCAAAGTGCTGGGATTACAAGCCACAAGGCACCACGCCCAGCCTTTTTTTTTTTTTTGAGATGCTGTCTCACTATGTCATTCAGGCTGGAGTACAGTGGTGCAACCTCTGCTCACTGCAACCTCTGCTACCTGGTTTCAAATGATTCTGCTGCCTCAGCCTCCCGAGTAGCTAGGATTACAAGCATACACCACTACACCTGGCTAATTTTTGTATTTTTAGTAGAGACAAGGTTTTGCCATGTTGGCCAGGCTGAACTCGAACTCCTGACCTCAAGTGATCCACCTACCTCAGCTTCCCAAAGTGCTGGGATTACAAGCATGAGCCACTGCTCCTGGTCACCTATGGAGGACATCATTTGTGGAGGTCAGTAAGGCAGGAAGCCTGAACCTCTACCAGGATATAGCAACTCTCCCACCTGCTCAGCTGGCCTCCAAGTTCTCTCTGTTGGATCTCTCCTTCCCACCACAGCCAGAGTGAAGTTTCTAAAATCCAAACATGACCAGATCACTCCCCTCCCTGAAAGTTTTCAGTGGCTTCCCTTTGACATCAAGGTAAAGTACAAATGCCTTGAGATGGCTCAAAACACCCCTAGGTCTGATTGCTTTTCACACTCTCCCCTTGAATCTTCTGCCTCAGCTATGGAAGTGTGGACAGCTTCTCAAGCGCACCAGCTCTCTGACACCTCCAAGTCTTTGTATACATCTGTGCCTGAAATGCAGTCTCCCCCTCTCCTCCTGACTAATGCCCCCATTATTCTTTTGCCCTAACTCCACAGGGAACCATTCAACATATCTAATGTGTATCTTTCTATCTGTGTTCTGCTAAAATCTTTAAATCTTTATTCTGGGTTTTGTGTGCATGTATTTTTAATGTATACAAATGATGCTGTGTCACATGGCACATTCTATTTACTTTTTCCCACCCAGTGTTGAGTTTTGTTGGTTCGATTTGGTTTTGGGGTTTTGGTTTTTTTGAGACAGGGTCTTTGTTCTCAGGCTGGAGTGCAGTGCCCCAATCACCACTTGCTGTAGCCTCAACGTACTGGGCTCCAACTATCATCCTTCATCCTGCCTCAGCCTCCCGGGTAGCTACAGGCCTGTGCCACCATACTTGGCTAAGTTTTTGGCTTTGTAGAGATGGGGGTTTTGCTACGTTGCCCTGGCTATGTTGTCCAGGTTCATGTTGCTGTGTTATCACCCGCTCAGCCACTTCTACCTCCCCCAAAATCCTCCAGAAGGGGCACCTGCCCATGTTAGTTACCTGACTCTCCCCAGGCTTGATACTGATTGCCTCCAACTTCCTGGCATCACAAATGACACTGTAGTGAACACCCATGTACTTTTGTCTATCTATATGACAATCTCTTTGGGAGAGGTTGCCTGTATTGCTCAGCTTCTAATTTTGCCCATCTAACAGGCATAAAGTGGTAGCTGGTTTTCCATTTGTTTGTTTTTTGGCAGTGAACATTTTATTCAGGGCATGCGTATGGAGAGTGGTTAGGGACAAAGGAGAGTAGGAATGACCTTTGAAATAAAATGAAATGATTTCGGTGAAGAAACTCTAGGGAAGGGTAATTTCCCCCATTTAGATCATTTTAAGAAAGAAAATGACAGATAAGGTTTTTGCTCTATGGAACTAACAAACAAGTAGACTATTAATGCAATATCAGATATTAAATGCTCTGAAAACAATCAAGTAGGGCAATGAGTTAGAAAGTGATGGGAAAAGCCTTTGATTGGATGATTGGAAGGAGGTAGCATTGGGGCAGACACTGGAATGATGAACCATGAAGACGATTTTGTTGAAGAACATTTCAGGTACTGATAGCCATTGTTTTAACTTTCATTTCTCTGATTTCTAATGAGTTAGAGCATCTCTTTATCTGTTTGTTCAAATTTGCATTTCCTCTTTTGTCAATTGCCTGGGGTTTTGTTTGTTTGTTTGTTTGTTTTGAGACGGAGTCTCACTCTGTCACCCAGGCTAGAGTGCAGTAGTGTGATCTCAGCTCACTGTAACCTACACCTCCTGGGTTCAAGCAATTCTCCTGCCTCAGCCTCCTGAGTAGCTAGGATTACAGGCATGTGCCACCACACTCGGCTAATTCTTTTGTATTTTTAATAGAGACGGGGTTTCACCATATTAGCCAGGCTGGTTTCAAACTCCTGATCTTATGATCTGCCCGCCTCGGCCTCCCAAAGTGCTAGGATTACAAGTTTGAGCCACCATGCCCAGCCTCAATTGCCTGTTTATGTCGTTTACCCATTTTCTTTTGAATTTACTATCTTTTCCTTGTTGATGTGAATCTTTGCTGATATATTCTACATATAAACCCCTCGTTGATTTTTTTTTCTTTTCTTTTGGAGTTTTCTCTCTCTTGCTCTCTCTTTTTTGTTTGGTAGACACGGGGTCTTGCTTTGTTGTCCAGGCTGGCCTCCATGTGCCAGGCATCGCGCCAAGCACTCTATATGGCTTATCTCATTAGTTAAGGTTAGTGCTGGGATTACAGGCATGAACCACCTTGCCCAGCCTGGTTTTATATTTTCCCTTGTTGGTTTTGGACATTGCAATACCTCTGACATTCTTTCTATTCCTCAAACATGCCACCTCCTCCGCCCTCAGGCCTTCATCCTTGCTCTCTCTCTGCCTGTTATCCTCTTCCCAGATATTTGCATGCAGAGGTTTCTCCACATTAAGCTCTCAGATGTCACCTCTTCACCCCTCCTCCAGGCACACTCTATTACATCATCTTGTTTTGCTAGCGCCAAGGCCCTATCACGAGGATCTGGTTCACTCATTGTTTCCTGTCTATGTCTTCCTTCATCGCCCTGAGGATAAGCTTCAGCCAGTCTTAGTTAAACCTCAGCCCCCAGTGCAGTGCCTGGCACACGTGAGGTCCTCAGGAAACATTTCCTGAATGAATGAATAGATGTGCCATAGTCATGGGCCATGGAGTGAGGGAAAGGCAAGGCTAAGAGTGGTGTGCTTCAAGTGACACTTAACGACAAGTTAATGTTTGTTTTTACCACGTGCCAGGCATTGTGCCAAGCACTCTATATGGCTTATCTCGTTAGTCCTGATAATAGTCCTATAAGGCAGGTATTCCTATTCTCTATGTATGAGATAAGGAAACCAAGGTAGAGAGATAAAAGAAGCTGCCCAAAGTTTGGTCTCCTTTATCCCAGTTAGAAAACGGGCTGAGAAGAAACCAGGACCCAGGGAATCTGCTCCTGAGCTGAGGCTCTCAGACACCACACATACTGCCTCTCTAGGGAAGAAGGGAGGGGGAGAACGGCTGTGGCCAGGATAGATCACCCTTAGAATCGCAGAAATGAGGTCCTCCCAGGGAAGGCGATGAAGGCGGGGAGCGGGGAGGAGGTGAGGGCAGGGAGCAGGGAGGGGAATGCTCTCCCTTATATGAGGCCCGTGAAGCCCAGAGAGGGTCAGTGACCAGGCCCCAAATGGGCAAGCCAAGCTTCCCACGGTGGGGCAGTTCCACCGCCCCCTTTCACTCTCTCTGGGCAGGGACCGCGTGGCGCGCATCGGGCTGGGCGTGATCCTGAACCTGGCGAAGGAGCGTGAACCCGTGGAGCTGGCGCGGAGCGTGGCAGGCATCTTGGAGCACATGTTCAAGCACTCAGAGGAGACGTGCCAGAGGCTGGTGGCGGCCGGCGGCCTGGACGCGGTGTTGTACTGGTGCCGCCGCACTGACCCCGCGCTGCTGCGCCACTGCGCGCTGGCGCTGGGCAACTGCGCGCTGCACGGGGGCCAGGCGGTGCAGCGACGCATGGTGGAGAAGCGCGCAGCCGAGTGGCTCTTCCCTCTCGCCTTCTCCAAGGAGGACGAGCTGCTTCGGCTGCACGCCTGCCTCGCGGTAACGGTGTTGGCGACTAACAAGGAGGTGGAGCGCGAGGTAGAACGCTCGGGCACGCTGGCGCTCGTGGAGCCGCTTGTGGCCTCTCTGGACCCTGGCCGTTTCGCCCGCTGTCTGGTGGACGCCAGCGACACAAGCCAGGGCCGCGGGCCGGACGATCTGCAGCGCCTCGTGCCGCTGCTCGACTCTTCCCGCTTGGAGGCGCAGTGCATCGGGGCTTTCTACCTCTGCGCCGAGGCTGCCATCAAGAGCCTGCAAGGCAAGACCAAGGTGGGTGCAGGTTTGGGATTGGGTGGATCAGGGGTTAGAGAGCCTCTGGGAAATTTTCCCAGAGGGAGTCACATTTAACCGGGAGTTGAAATACACATCAGAATTATGTGAAGCAAGACAAGGAGGGGGCCAGTCATTATGGCCTTGAAGGCAAATCCCAAAGTTTGGACTTGGTTTGGTTTGGGGGGCAAGAGGAAAACACTGAGAAGTTTTTAAGCAGGAGCCACTTGTGTTTTACAAAGATCATCCTAGCTGCAGTGTGGAAAGGGGCTTGGCAAGGGTGAGGTTGGAGGCAAGGCCACCCAATAAAAGACTATGACTTCCAGCAGTGGACGTTGGGGGCAGGGGGAGAATTAAGATGGTGAAGACTGGGATGTCAGCAGTGGCAGAGAGCAGATTCAAGAGATGTTTAAGAGATGTAGTTAGCACGTGGTGTCTGGGAGAAGGAGAGAGAGGATCTGAGGATGACTCCTGGCCATGAACATAGGCAATGAATAAGGCGAACTGGGTGAGCAACAGGTGGAGGTGGGAGAGGGGAAGAAAGTGAGTTCTGCTGGACATATGGAGAGATGCCCTGCTGGAGAGCTTCAGTGGGTAGTTTAGCCTTTGGAGTCTGGAGTCTGGGAAGATGGCTGCTGGAGACAGAGGCTTGAGGCTTGGGACAAGACATCAGAGTGTCAGCCAGATAACATCCACTGGAGTCCCAAGGGGTCCTCATGTCCAGGTCTAATCCACCAGTGACCTTTGCCCACTGCTTTAACTTGCTGTGTTAGCTTGAGCGCCTGGCTTCCTCTCTCTGGGCCTCTATTTTGACCTCATTTTTATCCTCTGGAAAATTCAGTGAATTGGACCACAGCAGCAGTTCTTACCCTGGATGTGGGAATGATAGTTTTAGCACCAAAAGTTTTTGGATTGTTCTTTCTGGAAACAGAGTTCTGCTATATTGCCCAGGCTGGCATCAAACTCCCTTGGGAGAAGGGAACTCAAAGAAGGGAAGTGGCTGAGGCAGGAGAATCATGTGAACCTGGAAAGTGGAGGTTGCGGTGAGCCGGAATCGCACCACTGCACTCCAGCCTGGGCTACAGAGTGAGACTCTGTCTCAAAAAAGAAAAAGAGAAAGAAGACTGCTATGTTAGGGGGTGTTTGGGGGTCACTGGGTCCAGTGTTCTAGGAACTGCTGATTCTTCTCTCTGCACTCCAAAGTTGGGCCAAGGAGGACTTGCTCTATAAGGCAGCTCATTCTGCTTTGGGAGAAGGGAACTCAGAGAAGTAGGGTATGAGAACCCCAAGGACTGGATCTGGGCAGCAACCATGATCACCAGTGTGTCACCCCTTTCCCACTGAGGCCAAGCGAGTCCAGTTCAACAAAGATACCTTGAGTCCCACTGTGTCCTTCATTGTGCCAGATACAGGGCTCCAGTAGTGACTGAGACATGTCCTCAGCTTATGCTCCAGTGGAAGTTGCATCGTTAACTAGGGACAGTGGCATTCAGAGTGTGGCATAAGTCCCAATTAGAGGTGTGGGCCAGGATATGGGGGAATCAAAGCAGGCTGCATGGAGGAGGCGCTAATCAATTTGGATTCCGATGGATGAGTAGGATTTCCGTGGATTAGTAGGATTCCTACCAGCAGGCTGGAAGAACTAATGGTTTAGAAACATCATGGGTCAAGACCCAGAGGTGTGAAAGCCTTGGGGTGTGTGTATGTGTATGTGTGTGGGTGTGTGATGTGTGGGCTGGTGGAAGGTGAGGTGACCTGGGAGTGGTGGGCAGCTGCACTGTGCCCTGCCTGGCAGCCATGCTGAGAGCTCAACTTTTATTCCAGGGCTGGTGGATGCTGTAGAAGGGATATGAAGGAGGGATATGCCCCTCCGCCTTCAGCCTATCCTGAGTCAGGACCTGTTCAAGAATTCAGAGTATTTCAGGAGCGGGGAATCAGCAGGACTCCTGACTTAGTGGCTGAAGGCGGGGTCAGGGCAGGTGGTGGGACTTTGGGTGGTGAGAAGAGACAAGGAGGAGGACTGGGAACGTATGGGGGCAGCTGGAGAGCTGGTGGAGCCTAGAGTCCTCGCCCCACTCCCTCCCCAGGTGTTCAGCGAAATCGGCGCTGTCCAGAGTCTGAAACGCCTCGTTTCCTACTCCACCAATGGCACTAAGTCGGCGCTGGCGAAGCGTGCGCTGCGCCTGCTGGGCGAGGAGGTGCCGCGGCCCATCCTGCCCTGCGTGCCCAGCTGGAAGGAGGCTGAGGTCCAGACGTGGCTGCAGCAGATCGGCTTCTCCCAGTACTGCGAGAGTTTCCGGGTAGAGCCGCTGGGGGCCACCTCCCCCAAGTCAGAGTGGGCGCCCTGGGCACAGGGACTGCGTCCACTCCAGGCCTCGCACTCCCGCGGCGCCAGGGTGGCTTTTGGGGGTGGAGAGCCTGTATGCAGCCACCCTCGGGGTCACTCGGCTCTAATCTGGGTCCCGTTCACCTCCTCCGCGCCATCTCCAGTTCTTCCGTTACATCTTGGGCTCGAGGTCCAGGGGCGGAAAAGCGGAGCCCTTCCTGACACCTGCCTCCTCTCCCAGGAGCAGCAAGTGGACGGTGACCTGCTTCTGCGGCTCACAGAGGAGGAACTCCAGATCGACCTGGGCATGAAATCGGGCATCACGCGCAAGAGGTACGGAGCCTCCTGCCCGCCCGACCCCAGCCGGGTTTAAATAACCGTCCACTCCGCCCGCAGCCCGTGGGAGTCCGGACCTCAGCATCTTCTCCTCCATGGGGTGCAGGTTCTTCAGGGAGCTCACGGAGCTCAAGACCTTCGCCAACTATGCTACGTGCGACCGCAGCAACCTGGCAGACTGGCTGGGCAGCCTGGACCCGCGCTTCCGCCAGTACACCTACGGCCTGGTCAGTTGCGGCTTGGACCGCTCCCTGCTGCACCGTGTGTCCGAGCAGCAGTTGCTGGAGGACTGCGGCATCCGCCTGGGCGTGCACCGCTCCCGCATCCTCACGGCTGCCAGAGGTCAGCCCGCACACACGCGACCCCGCTCCAGCCGCGGCCCGGGAAGGGTGAGGGGAGACACGGGGTGGAGCCTCCCAGCCTCACTGTGGATTGATTGAGCACAAACGTGGGTCAGACTGGGCTCTGAGGATATAAAGATGAATATGTTGCACTTTGCCCCAAGAAGTTCCCAGCCTAGACTGGCGCAGTGGCACTCGCCTGTAATCCCAACACTTTCGGAGGCCGAGGTGGGCAGATCACTTGAGGTCAGGAGTTCGAGACCAGCCTGACCAACATGGAGAAATCCAGTCTCTACTGAAAATACAAAATTAGCTGGGCATGGTGGCGCATGCCTATAATATCAGCCACTCGGGAGGCTGAAGCAGAATCACTTGAACCTGGAAGGTGGAGGTTGTGGTGAGCTGAGATTTCGCCATTGCACTCCAGCTTGGGCAGCAAGAGCAAAACTCAGTCTCTGAGGCAGGTAGGCGGTGGGAGGGAGGGAGGTATTAAACAGGCAGGTGGCCTCGGCAGGAAGCATGCCCAGGTCTCCAGTGGGAGTACAGAGGAAGCCCAGCCCACCCTATCCACCCAGGTCTAGATTTCAGAGAGGACAGGATGCCTGGCCAAGTCTTAGAAGATGCACTAACCAAAAAAGTGGCAACAGGAAGGGCAGCCCAGGCAGAGGCGGCAGCCAATGGAAGTATAGTGGGATATATAGGTGGGAAGGGTGTGTGCGTGTGTGTGTTATCCTATTGGCCAATAGCTTACAAAATTTGGGTCTAGAGGTGGTTTAGAGTGAATTCTAGGGCTCTAGCCACCCTCCTTATATGCTAATTTATTTTAACTTACTAATTTACTACTTAGCTAATCTTTATTGTCAATTACCAGGGACTCTATTAAGTTTTTAAGATATTATCTCATAAATGTCTACATTGATTCTATGCAGTGAGTGTTCGATTTTTTAAATCAACCTTAAAGAACTCTTTAAAGAATAAAAAGAAGAAGTGTCCAGAGGACTGGGCACCATGGCTCATGCCTGTAATTCTAGCAGTTTTCGAAGCCAAGTCAGGTGGATCGCTCAAGTCCAAAGTTTAAGACCAGCCTGGGCAACGTGGTGAAAGCCTGTCTCTACTAAAAGTACAAAAAATTAGCTGTGCGTGGTGGCACACGCCTGTAGTCCCAACTACTTGGGAAGCTGAGGTGGGAGGATGACCTGAGCCCAGAAAGTTAAGGCTGCAGTGAACTGTGATCAGGTCACTGCTCTCCATCCAGTCTGGCAGCGGGAGTGAGACCCTATCTCAAAAAGAAAACAAGTGTCAGTTTGAGTTTTGAAAGACATCTGTGTGATCCCTCCAGCAAAATGGAAGATATAGAATACTTCCATCGTCGGTGTTCATTTTAAAGATAACTAACTAAAATGTTAGTTTTTTAAACAAATATTTTTTTAAAAAAAGAATTCAAATACGTTTCCCACAGTCATAAAAGTCATTAGATGGCAAAACTGGGACTTGAGCCATTGTCTTTCTGCTTCATAAACAAACAAATGTTGTCTGTGAGTGTTATGTCTAAATATTAAAAGAAGATGAATTCTTTTCATTATATCTATTCATTCAGCAATTACGGACTAAGCACCCACAAGACAAAAGGGACTGGGCTTTGGCTGTATTCTTATGCTTCAAACAAAGCAGGTCGGCTTTTATTATTTTTACATTACAGCTCCCAATAAAACTTCAAGATTTCTTATGTATTTAAGACAAGATCTCACTCTGCCACCCAGGCTGGAGTGCAGTGGCACAATCACAACCCACTGAAGCCTCAACCTCCCAGGCTCAAGCGATTCTCCCACCTCAGCTCCCAAGTAGCTGGGACCACAGGTGCGCAACACCACGCCCAGTTAATTTTTGTAATTTTTGTAGAGACAGGGTTTCACCATGTTGCCCAGGCTGTTCTCAAACTCCTGGCCTCCTCCCACCCCGGCCTCCAAAAGTGTTGGGATTATGGGCATGAGCCACCACACCAGGCACAAGATTTCATTTTTAAACAACAGGAAAGTCCTGGGGCAAAAATAGCTTACAAAAAATAAGTTTGTATAGGGAGTAGGGAGCCATGCTTAGTTTTTAAGTGGGGCCAGTGACACGCTCAGGTTTGGATTTTGGAAAGATGCTCTAGTAGCTGTGGCAAATGGACTAGACTGGGCAATTCTGTTTCTTTTGCTTCTTTTCTTTTCTGTTTTAGACAGTCTCACTCTGTCGCCCAGGCTGGGGTGCAGTGGTGCGTTCTTGGCTCACTGCAATGTCCCCCTCCTGGGTTCAAGTGGTTCTTGTGCCTCAGCCCTCTGAGTAGCTGAATTACAGACATGTGCCAAGATGCCCAGCTAATTTTTTTGTATTTTTAGTGGAGATGGGGTTTCAACATATTGGCCAGGCTGGCCTCGAACTCCTGGCCTCAAATGATCCACCACTTTGGCCCCCCAAAAGTGCTGGGATTATAGGTGCGGGCCACCGTGCCCAGCCTAAGGCAATTCTAGCTGGGTTTGGGGAGGCCATTGAGGAGGCTGACATTGGAAACCTGACCCAGGAAATGGCCCAGAGGCTGGAGTCCAGGGTGTTTAGTAGGTAGAATCCTCAGAATGGAGTGCCTGGCGCTGAGCACTGAGTGCTGCTCCACGGGAGTAGAGTGCTGTCTGTTTTATTCGCTGCTGAATCTTAAGCACTAAAGATAGTTCTGGCACATAGCAAGCACTTGAGAAATATTTGTTGAATAAATTAAATGGGAGGCAGGAGTTGAGGCTGATACCCAGGTGTCTGGATTTGGTGGAAAATAGGGAGAAGGAATGAGGGGAAGATGTGGGGTGTGTTGAATCAGGAGTGACTGTGAGCAGCTGGCTTTGCAGGTCTGGAGTTCCAGAGAGAGGACAAGGCTGGAAGTGCATATCAATGTCCCTAGAACACAGGCCTGCCTCCTAAGAGAAACCCAGCAGTAACATGACCTTCCTTCTGTAGGCCGCATCTCTCCTTTTTGGGGCAGGCCACCCTTCCCAGGCTGGGCTGAGAGGGCTGGGTGGACTAGGGACAAAGTCCCCACGGGATGATATGCCTCACAGCAAGTGATGGGGGCGCCACCCTCACTATGCTGCCTATTGCCCACTTCAGAAATGCTACACTCCCCACTGCCCTGTACTGGTGGCAAACCCAGCGGGGATACCCCAGATGTCTTCATCAGCTACCGCCGGAACTCAGGTTCCCAGCTGGCCAGGTGAGGAGGGGCAGGCAGGTGGCGGCAGGGCCTCGGGGCATGGCTGTGGCACTGACACCCGACCTACTTGCAGCCTCCTGAAGGTGCACCTGCAGCTGCACGGCTTCAGTGTCTTCATTGATGTGGAGAAGCTGGAAGCGGGCAAGTTCGAAGACAAACTCATCCAGAGTGTCATGGGTGCTCGCAACTTTGTGCTGGTGTTGTCACCTGGAGCACTGGACAAGTGCATGCAGGACCATGACTGTAAGGATTGGGTGCATAAGGTAGGTGCCAGCCTTTGCCTCTGTGGTCCCAGCATTGGCCGTGGTCCAGGAGATAGGGTCATCCTTCTATTCCTTCTTGTCTCCACATGCCGGCACCCTTAGCCCTGAAGCACCTCTCTGGCTCAGCTGGAAGTCAGGAACCATAGCTCTGACTATAGTAAGACTTTAGCAAGCCACAAGGGACAAGAGACTAGGCTTTGGCTCTCTGAGCCTCAGTTTTTTTATCTACAAAATGGGGTAACTTACCTGTTCCTCTCACCTTGTAGAACTGTTGTGAGGATCAGAGAGAGATAAAAATGCTTTGAAAAATAACTTCTATGAGAGCAGGAGAGTATAGTGACAGACAGAATGGAATAGGTGTTGAGAGCTCAAAACTGAGAGTCTGAATCCTGGCTCTGGCCTTGGGCAAATTACTTAACCCCAATAAGCTTTGTATTTATTACCGGAAAGTGGGTATAATAATGGTATGTAACGTCCTAGAACATTGTTATAAGGATTAAAAGAGCTAAAATTTGTGACGTGGTTAGCAGAATGGCTGGCACATAGTAACTGCTTAATAATGATAGTAATTATTATTAATTATAACTACTACATATGTTTAATTCTTATTATTATTATTATTATTTTTTTTTTGAGACGGAGTCTCGCTCGTTACCCAGGCTGGAGTGCAATGGCTCAATCTCGGCTCACCGCAACCTCTGCCTCCTGGGTTCAGGCAATTCTCCTGCCTCAGCCTCCTGAGTAGCTGGGATTACAGGCACGTGCCGCCATGCCCAGCTAATTTTTTGTATTTTTAGTAGAGACAGGGTTTCACCATGTTGACCAGGATGGTCTCCATCTCTTGACCTCGTGATCCACCCACCTCGGCCTCCCAAAGTGCTGGGATTACAGGCATGAGCCACCACGCCCAGCCTTACATATGTTTAATTCATCATTGTATTTTCAGTGCCTGACACATTGTAGCAACTCATTGAATACTTAGAGAATGGATGGATGGATAGATCCATATTGTGTCTTAAGGTTATTAATCATTAATTGGTCAGTAGAAATTGGAGTTGGGGCTGAGGCATGCAGTAGTCATCTGAGGGACAGGATGAGACAAGCAGCCAGCTCAGAGGCAAGAATATGCCCACGGGGCTGGGCATGGTGGTTTACAACTGTAATCCCAGCACTTTGGGAGGCTGAGGCGGATCACTTGAGTTCAGGAGTTCGAGACCAGCCTGGGCACCATGGTGAATCCTTGTCTCTACTAAAAAAATACAAAAATCAGCTGGACGTGATGGTGCACACCTGTAATCCCAGCTACTCGGGAGGCTGAGGCAGGGGAGTCGCTTGAGCCCAGAAGGTGGAGGTGGAAGTAGGCCGAGATGGTGCCACTGCATTCCAGCTTGGGCATCATAGTGAGACCCTGTCTCAAAATGACTAGAGCACAAGCAAGTTGGTGTAAATGCTGAGCCAGGTAGGCAAACCTCTTGTTTGCCACAGGGATCTGGAGAAGAGAGAACATCAAGGTGTCAACGAAAAGAGTCAAACTCTGTAAAATATTTGAAGAGATTTATCCTGAGCCAAATATGAGTGACCGTGGCCCATGACACAGCCCTCAGGAGACCCTGAGAACATGTGCTCAAGGAGTTCAGGACAGAGTTGAGTTTCTGCATTTTTGGGAGACATGAGACATCAGTCAATACATTTAAGACGTACATTGGTTTGGTTCAGAAAGGCAGGACAGCTCAAAGCAGGGGCTTCAAGGCTATAGGTAGATTTTAAATTTTTCCATTTGATAATTGGTTGAGTTTATCTGAAGACCTGGAATCAATAGAAAGGAAATGTTTAGGTATGAAAAAGGGTTGTGGAGACCAAGTTTTACTGTGCAGAGGAAGTTCTCAGATAGCAGACTTCAGAGGGAGTAGGTTATAAAATATTTCTTATCGGAATGAAAGGGTGCCTGGCTCTTTGTTGATTATCTCCTGAGTCTGGAAAGAAAAAGAAAAAAATGGGGGAAAGGGGATTCTCTATCAAATGTAGGTTTTCCCCAAAAGAGACAACCTTCTGGTGCAATTTCAAGATATGGCAGGGAAATGTATTTGGGGCTAAAATATTTTTATTTCCTCCCTTGTTATGTGATGTTATACTAGTCAGGTAGAAAGCAGACCACGTGGCTGGGCACAGTGGCTCACGCCTGTAATCTCAACACTTTGGGAAGCCGAGGCAGGCAAATCATAAGGTCACAAGTTCAAAACCAGTCTGGCCAACATGATAAAACCCCATCTCTACTAAAAATCCAAAAATTAGCTGGGTATGGTGGTGGTCACCTGTAGTCCCAGCTGCTCAGGAGGCTGAGGCAGGAGAATCATTTGAACCTGGGAGGTGGAGGTTACAGTGAGCCAAGATCGTGCCACTGCACTCCAGCCTGGGTGACAGAGTGAGACGCTGTCTCAGAAAAAAAAGAAAAGAAAAAAATAAAGCACACCATGCTATATAGTGTTAAAATTAAAATCCCTCTGATAAGACTTTATGGTTTGTAGGGCATGACTCCCCAGGCCCCTTAGGTAGGAATTTGGGCAAGATAAAAAAATTTTTTAAATGAGTGTTTAGTCCTCAGAGGGCTGGAATAATCAGGGAAGACTTCATGGAGGAAGCAGGTCTTGAGAAGAATCTTAAGAGTTTAGGTAAGTGGAAGAGAAGGCATCCCAGCCCAGGGTAACAGCATGAGCAAAGGAATAAAGGTAGGGAGGAGAACAGTGTTGAAAGCCCACATGCATCTTGGCTACTGCTTTCTCCATATCACATATGAAGAAACTGAGGCTCAGAAAAGTAGAATAATTTTCCCTTGGTTGCACTGCTAGTGTAGAACTCAGAAAAGCTGGGTTTCAAATTCCATCTATCTGACTCCAAAGCTCATGCACTTTCCCAAAATCTTCACTGCATTCTATTGCACAGATCTGAGGGTGTGTGAGGGGAGGTGATCGGGTAGGGCTGGATTCAGTTAATACCAGAGATGATTGTCTGCCTCTCTTCTCAACTCCATATCCAGTGATGTCATGTTGGTAGCTTGACATCAGCCATGGTGGGAGTATTTACACCAAGGAAATTGGCAACCACTCCAAATCAAGGTTTTGTTTGTTTGTTTAGCTGGCTGGTTGGGTTTTCTCCCACTCTGAATAGCTAGTTATTATAAAGTTACCAGCACACCATTGGCTGGATAAGAACTATGGAAACCAGGTTATGGAGTGTCTGAAGACAGGAGAAGACCTGTGCTTAAAACACTGGGAAACAAGGAGCCCATGAAACGGGAGATGCCAGGGCTGCGGGTTTTAGAATGAAGGCTCTGACACAGAAATGCAGTTCACCTTGAGTGTGGAGTGAAGCCCCAGAGGCCAGGTAGGAGGGGCCTGGTTTGGGGAGGGGCATTAGGCCAGGTGAACATCCTGGAGGAACATGGCTGATGACCCAGAGCAGGCAGCAGGCAGCCTTTCGAGAGAAAGAGAGGAGTGTCTGTGAGCTCCATGAGAGTTCAGACCTTGCCTCATTTATCTGTGTCTCTGGTGCCTAAAACCACGCATAGTACAAAGGATGTGCAATTGCACCAAAAAAAAGAAAAAAGGAAAGAAAGAAAAAGGAGAGAGAAAGAGAGAGGCTGTAGAGGAGTTTATAGAACAATTGAATCAATGATTAAGCCGACAAGTGATACTCATGAAGCTGAGATGCCATGCCTGGGAACACCATACATATCTAGCAGATTTACCAGGTAAGTGGACTGACTCCGTTTTTTTGTTTTTTTGTTTTTTTTTCCTCAGTAGAGACAAGGTTTCGCTATGTTGCCCAGGGGCTCAAACTCCTGAGCTCAAGCCTGGAGTTCAGTGCCTGCCTTGGCCTCCCAAAGTTCTGGGATTACAGGCGTGAGCCACCACGACCAGACAGAGGACTTGACTCTTAATTGTTTTCATTCTCAACCAGCTAAATGATCCTAAACAAACCATTATCCCTTTCATTTTTCTTTTCTTTTTTATTTATTTATTTATTTTTGAGTCTTTGTCACCGGGTTGGAGGGCAGTGGGGCGATCTCAGCTCACTGCAACCGCTGCCTCCCAGGTTCAAGCAATTCCCCTGCCTCAGCCTTCCGAGTAACTGGGACTACAGGTATGCACCACCACACCTGGCTAATTTTTTTTTTGTATTTTTGTAGAGACAGGGTTTCACCATGTTTGCCAGGATGGTCTCAATCTCCTGACCCTGTGATCCGCCCACCTCGGCCTCCAAAGTGCAGGGATTGCCGGCGTGAGCCACCGCTCCTGGCCACCATTATCTCTTTCTTGGCCAGCCTCTAAATCTGTGCAATGAACACTTTGTACTGTCTTTGGTTTTGTATAATTCTGGGTGAAACAAATATCTAAAGATTTCCAAATTGCTGCAGGGTCAGGATTCATCCCAATGCTCAGCAGAGAGGCAGCGGGGCTTGGTTGAAACAGCCTGGACTTGGACTCTCAAGGCTTGAGTCAGAGGACTGGCCCCTGACTTGTGGGCTGGGAGCATGTGTGGCTTGGTGGGATATCCCCTTCCGTCTTTGGGCTTTTTTTCTCTTCATCTGTGAAATTGGAGCAGCTCCCCAGGAAGCCAGTCAAGGTTGAAGTTATGCATGTTCTTTCTCCAGGAAGGCTCCAGTTCCCAAGCATGCTTGGCACCCATTGTCATCCCAGCAGACGGCAAGGAGGTGGGAGGAGCCTTTGCCTTGGACGGGCCCAGAGGCTCCGTCATCCCTCTTTGGTTGTTTCTGGTGCTTAATGGCCTCTGGTTTTAAAACCCCTTTCCCTGAAGCCACATTAGTGGGTAATCAATATGGAAAACCGCAAGTGAACTGCACTCAAGAAAGTAAAATCCCCTTGGTTCCTTCTTGAGAGGAAGGAAAACATTCAATACTCACTTACAGAACCCCATTAATAGCAAATAATTCCTCAGAACAACGCTTTGAGGTAGGTTGTATTATCCCCACTCTGCAGAAGAGGAAATAAGAACACCTATTAAGCATACACTATATGCTAAGCACCGCTCTAATTACTTGCCATGGAATGTCATGCTTATTCCACGGAACAATCCTCTTCCAAGGAAGCTTATTTTGTGTGGCTGGGAGGGCAGGGCAGGGGTAGAGTTTGAGAAGTGGACTGTGGCCAACCACACAGGACCTCACAGGCGAGATGAAGGAGTTGGGACTTTATTCTAAGACCATGCAAAGTCTTGAAGAGTTTTAACTAAGGGGTGACTGGATCTGATTTGTTAGATATGTGTTTTGCAGAAATTAGCTACGTGAAAGGGCAATGTGGAAAGTGAATTAGAGAAGACAAGGGTGGATGAGGAGAGACTTGCTGGGGCTTAAAGATATAATGGGGATTGGAAGAGGGTGGTGGTGGGGTGAAGGTGGGGAAATGATGGATTTGAGAAGTAAGGAGTACAACTGGCAGGGTGCATGATGGATCAACCTGTATGCAGGAGTGTGTTTTCTTTCCAACACCAAATTGTATTTTTTATTATACTACAAGGGATAAGGGAGACATCAAGGTGGACTTCAGGACTAGTGTCCTCCCCTGGGCCCAGCCTCGAGCTAGTGGCCCTCCCAGCACCTGCTTGGCTACAAGGGTGTCTAGATGGGGACCGGGCTATCTTCCTCTTCTTTCTTTCTGCAGGAGATTGTGACTGCTTTAAGCTGTGGCAAGAACATTGTGCCCGTCATTGATGGCTTCGAGTGGCCTGAGCCCCAACTCCTGCCTGAGGACATGCAGGCTGTACTTACTTTCAATGGCATCAAGTGAGCCCCAGGGCCACGGGACCAGCTGGGTAGGGTACAAGTCGCCATGACAGGCAGTGTGTGGGCAAACAGCTGACTAGCAGCTCCCTCTCCCCAGCTTCTGACCCACATGCTTCTGTGCCCACAGGTGGTCCCACGAATACCAGGAAGCCACCATTGAGAAGATCATCCGCTTCTTGCAGGGCCGTTCATCCCGGGACTCATCTGCAGGCTCTGACACCAGTTTGGAGGGTGCTGCACCCATGGGTCCGACTTAGCCAGTCCCCAGTTCCCCAGCCCTGCTGTGACTTCCATTTCCATTGTCCTTTCGGAAGGAAACCGGCCTCCCTGGGCTGAGACAACCCGTGCTCTTCTCAGGAAATGTCTTTCCCTGTCCCCCACCCTCATGGCCCACCTCCAACCCACTTTCCTCAGTATCTGCAAAGGGAGGGGAAGTCAGGCTTGGGCGGGGGGCTGGTTAGAACTCCCCCAGGCCCTGCCAGCGGGTTGTCTGTCTTGTCGTCTGTCTCAGTCATGGGGAGGATCCCTGCTCAGTTCTGGAGATACTGGAATTGGGGTGGGGGTGGGGGTGGTTCCTGCATTCCCTTCTCCTGCTCAGATAGCAGCCAACTTGAGGAGGATGAAGGCAGGCAGCTCAGACAGGAATCAGGGCAATGCCCTGGTGGGCCTTGGCACTGTATTCTGAGCAAGAGTCTGGGCCCGGAAGCCAGCCAGGGATGAGTGCCTTCATGGCTTTCCACCCAGACCATGCCTGGCCCCTGCGCTTACAATTTCCTGCCGCTCCGAGGCCTTGCCCTGTAATCACTCAGTGCCCTTAGCCAGCCTGACGAGGTCCCAGATCCCCTACAGCTTCCTTTGGTGTGGCATCTTTTGCCACCTCCAGGGCCAGGGGTTAGGCAAACCAGCCCTCCCTCTGATTTTGCTGCAGCCAGCTTTGCTGCACTTGCTGGTGCACAGGAGCCTCCTGTTTGGGCCTGAGTCTGGGCATGGGGAGGCGGTGCCTCAAAGCCCATCCTACCCCGTGCCTTGGTGCTGTGCCTCAGGCTCCTGCCTGGTCGGGCCCAGAGGGCTTCCCCAGCCCCTCAGCCAACCAGGGCTATCCACCCCTTGCTCAGGGACCAGGCAGCCCCCATGACAGTGGAAGTAGCCTCAATGGAACCTGCAGCTCTGTGGAAAGAGGCAAGATCCTAAAAAGGGAAAGCGTTGTTACCTTTAAAGTCCAAATCACCTGGAAATATTAAAATCAGGCGATCTGGGGTAGGGCCTGAGACTCTGCATTTCTTAGATTCCCAAGTGAGCTGGTGCTCGTGGTTAAGGGCAGGAAATCTCTAAAGCATAAAGCCCTCACAAATCTTTGCCATTTCCCAAACACTCCACTCCATGGTCTCTATTCATCGGAGCAACCCTACCTGGAATTATCATTCCCATTTTACAGATAAGGACGCTGAGGCTCAGAAAGATTGAGGATAAGCCCAGTTTCCTGTCATTGGTGGCAGCCCCAGATCCAGACCCAGGCCTCCTGGCACCCAGTCCGCTGGCAGTGGAATTGCTATCCTGAGAATCATCATGAGGCTAGGCTATTGCTTCCCCCTTACCCCAAAGAAGCTGGCAGCAGGGGAGAGGATTTTGCAACAAAAAGCGGACCCAGAAGCCGTACAGAAATAACTGAGCAGGAATGTCCTCTTGTACCCTCCTCCACTGGGTTCAGAGGGCAAGAAAGTACCCTCCAATAAACCCAGGCTCCAGGCCGTGGGGTCTGCTGAGAGCTCTTCCCTCCTGAGGGCCGGATGTTCACACCTCAAGGCTGACTGCACCCCCAGCCCCACTCCTGGCTGTGCTAGGTGACACCTTGTTCTCGGCCACATGATCAGAAAGTCAAAGGTCTCACTCCGGGTTTGGGGCTCCTTCCTCCCACTCCCCACCCTGCCGGGGTCTGTCCCAGCCTTGACGCTTCAGTTTTGACCCCACCTGATCCTCCTTTCCTCGTGCAGCACAAACGCTCGCCGGTGCCAGGGCATGGACACGACAAGCAGGGCAGACCGGATGCTGCCCTCACAGTACAGAGTCAATAAAATATTGTCTGAGTGTGTCCAGGGGATGATTTCTGGCTCTTTGTCTCCAGTCAGTCCCACCCCTTCCTGAGGTCCCAATGGGCAGTATTCAGAGAGGTTTCTTGCATTTTTTTCTGTTTAGTGTACCCTCCACTGCTGTCCACTGCCCTGTGTGGCTTTCTGGTTGACCTCTGACTGACCTTCTGTCTCTCTGGGGAATCAGAGTCCAGCATCTGGCCCCAGCAGGAACAGCTGAAGTCATGAGCCTCCCCTAAGCCAAGGCCAGTGGGTCCAAAGGTGACTGCCACCCCTGCCAGGACAAACACAGCTCAGATCACCAGGGCAGGCACCTAGGCCTGGCCCCTCCTGAGAGGACTCAGAAGTAGCCTTTCCTCCAAAGCCTGCTTGGACATATGTCGGTAGGGCTAGGGTGTTCTGCTTGGCTGGGCTGCAACTGCTACCCCTCGGTTGGGGCTGAGTCAGCCAGACCCTCCCGCAACTTCTCCCCAGAGGCCAAGAACTGCTCAGGGACATTCAGAGGTCAAAAGTCCAGCCACAACTCATTCCTCCTTTCCCCCGGCCCATGAAGAGAGGTATCTCATTGTAGAATGTATGAGGAGGTGGGAAGGATCTCGGAGCATCAGCTAAGTTTCCTAATTTGTCCAACCAAATGTGATCACCAAATTCTGGCTCTTTCAACAATTTGGGGCATCCCTGATCTAGCCCTTCCTAGTGGGGCTTGCTCAAGGTTGCACAGCAAGTCAGCAGGAGCCTTGGCTGGCCCCACTTGGTACAATCCACCAGGCAGCTCAGGGGCTCCTGCCCAGCCCAGCAACTTCTGTTTTCTGCCTATGGCAGGCAGACTGTGAGCAGGAAAACAGAGGGCCCCAAAGCCCGAGGCACCAAGAGGTTCGTTTCAGTTTGATGAAACTGATTTATAATGATTGGCACTCTTGAGCCCAGGGAGTGGGTAGGCCATAGCCAAGGATCGATTCCCTAACCACAGGGAAAGCAGCACTCTTCCTCTGAAGATCACCAAGCTCCTCTCATCTCCCTCCCTCCTTCCCAAGGTTGGCACTAACCAGGTACCATATTCATCGTTAATGAGTGACTGGTGGCTACTGTACACGTCGGGAAACTGGTTGGGGCTGTGCAGTTTGGGCTGGAAGGAGAGATGCCAGCCCTTGTGCTGCCTCTGGTCCCTGAGGTGTCACCTCCATCAGGACCTCTCCTCTGCCCTGAGGGGTTGTAAGTGATGGATGACAGAAAGGGAGAACTGACTCCTGTCCCAAATAGCTCCCCTGCCACCTGCCCTGCAGTGGGCCTGTCTGGGTTATAATTCTAGATCCTAGTCAGAGGCTGGCTCAGCTATGGATGGGGTGGCGCCTTGGTCTGTCTTGACCACGTCGTCCACAGTGAGCGCGGCCCTTTGAAAGGAGCTGTGGTGCTGCTGTGGGCGGGGCTCCCAGCTGGAGACCTCCAGTTGGCTGGTGTTCACTTTGCTCCTCTTGCCCTCTGTCTTCTGATCCAGGCAGATCAGGGGCTCTGGGGAAACTGCTGGAACTCAGGGTGAGGACCAGCCTTTTCCAGTGTCCTGTGAGAAACCAGAGAGAGGGTTTGCATTTCACATGGGGAACCCTCAGTGCCTGTCTGGAGAAGTGATGCAGGATTACTTGGGTAGGCTTGTCCAGGTAGCTCTCCTGAAACTCTTCCTTCCCCAAGCCGACAGCTGGAGGACAATGTCCAGGGACATGGCTCTGGAAAATAACTTTTTTTTTTTAAGAGACAGGGTCTTGCTCTGTTGTCCAGGCTGGAGGGCAGTGACATGATCATAGCTCACTGTACCCTTGAAGTCTTGGGCTCAAGTGATCCTCCTGCCTCAGCCTCCTTAGTAGCTGGGACTATGGGTGCACACCACCATGCCTAACTTTTTAAATTTTTCATTTTCTTTTTTGAGACAGAGTCTCACTCTGTTGCCCAGGCTGGAGTGCAGTGGGGTTCAAGAGATTCTCCTGCCTCAGCCTCCTGAGCAGCTAGGACTACAGGTGCCTGCCACCATGCCAGCTAATTATATTTTTAGTAGAGACGGGGTGTCACTGTGTTAGCCAGGATGGCCTCAATCTCCTGACCTTGTGATCTCCCCACCTTGGCCTCCCAGAGTGCTGGGATTGCAGGCGTGAGCCACCACCTGCAATTTAAAAAAATTTTTTATAGAGACAAGGTCTTGCTAGGTTGTCCAGGCTGATCTTGAATTCCTGGGCTCAAGTGGTGCTCCTGCCTCAGCCTCCCACAGGGTCAAGATTACAGGCAGGAGCCCCCAAGCCTGGCCATGAAATACAATTCTTAATATCATACGAGAAAAAGCCAGTCAAGCTAGCCTGTGGCCCAGCCACAGGTAGCTGAGAAAGCTCTCTGGGCTTCCCTTTAACATAGTTCTGCTGCCATAGTTCCATCTATAAAATGGGAATGGAGGGAATAGGGGAACTGGGAGAGAGAACATAGCCTTGCCAAGTAGCAATGTTAGCCTGCTTCTTCCTCCACCTGCCTCTCCACCTTGCCCTTGGAAAATGGCTCCCGGAGGATTAGGCATCCATCTGCAAGGGTAGGGGCAGCCTAGGACAACACACCCAGAGGGGAAGGATTCCAGGAATGAAGCTGCAATGTCTGGGTGGGAGGAGAAGAGAAAACTTTTCCAAGAAAGGGCTCCATTACGAGCATGGGTTCAGGGACCTGCATTACCCGATGAGAATGGCTGGGATGAGCAGGAGGCCAGCTCCCAGGAGGAAGGGGAACCCCTTCATGAAGTTCAGAGTGACTGGGTAGAGTGAGTTGAAGATGCCGGAGGCCGTCAGCATAGCCAGGCCGTTCACACAGGCCACAGCAGAAAAGAGAGCACCTGGGAAGAAATTAATACCATACTCTGGAGTCGGAAAGAGCCATGTTCGAATTCTGGCACCACCACCCCACAGCTGTGTGACCGGGGCAGTCACTTAACCTAAGTCTCCCCTTCCTCACCGGTAAATCCTTCTACATGTGACAAGAATTCAATAAAGTCGTACATGGACAGTAGCTGGCACAGAGGGGCTACTAAATAAATGGCTGCTATAAATCCACATTAAAAGTACATGTGCTCTGACAGAACCCAGCATATAAAATTAAAAAGGAAAAAAAAAAGGTACGTGTGGTATTGTCTGATGAAAGCTTGATGAAAATGGCTTTTTCTGGCTTATCCTATTTGGAATTTTCTCCTGCTTGGAACTAACTACAGGTGTGATTCCTCAGTTCCAACATTCATAGCTGTGTCACCACTGAATAGCTTCTTATCCTTTGTGTTCCTGTTCCTCCTCCTGCTAAATAAAGATAATACCTGTTTCCTGGATTGTCAGCAACACTAAGTTCACATGGAAATCACCCATCACTGGGCCTGGCCCCCTGGAAGTAGCCAGTCAGTAAGGGTGTTCTTTTTTCCTGCTCCCCTTGACATCTCTGGGCACAGAGAAAGTGCTGGGAAAAACGTTTAGGTAAATAAATGAAGGCACATGGATTCTGGGGACACCAGAGCCCAAAGTGGGCTCTGTATGGCACCAGCTGTCTGTCATCATCAGAACCTCATTCCAGGACAGATGGAGAAAAATGAATGTTTTCAGACTGGGGAATAAATACCCAGAGGATGGAAAAGCTGTTCTTTATAGATACACCAGGAGAACCCAGTTTACAAAATGTGCAACAATCCAACAGAAGTGGAGATTAAATTCTGTCACTTTACAGAGGCCTGTGATGTCATCAAGAGCAAACCATCTACATCACAGATGAAGAAACAGGCCTCTGTGACAGGATTCAGACTAAAACCCAGATCCTGACACCAGCTGCTTTTAAAAACAGACATGGGCTTGCATCCCAGCTCCACCATTTACTGGGTGAGCTGATGTAACCCCCTGGGCCTCTGTTTCTTCATCTGTCAACTGTGGAAAATGAAACCCACATCACAAGGCTGTTCATTTCTGGGCTGGTACACACTGACCCCAGTGAAACAGAGAACTCTAAGCATCATCACACCCACCTTACAGATGGAAAAGCTGAGGTCTGCAGAGAGTAAATCCTCTGCTCTGGTTATCCACAAAGAACATAATTGTGCACTGCTGACTGCAAACCCCAACTTTGTGGTTTGAAAATTCAAGGCAGCACGATCCTCTGCCCTTCGTGGGCAATTTGACAGAATTGTGTTTGTTTTGGCCACTTAATTCTCCAGGATGGGAGGCGGGAAGGCAAGCTGTTCCCCCAGCCACGGCTGCCCATCAGGCAGCACTGGACATGAGGACGCAGACACAGGTGGGTCCTGATACTCACCCTGCTCTGTCTCTCTCACCAGCTTGGAGAGTTTGGCCCGGATGATGGGTGTGGTGACTAACGACAGGAAGAGCAACCCATATCCTGTGGAGAAATAAACACTCATCAGGAAAATGGGGCCGGGAGAGGGGTGTCCAAGGGAGAGGCAGCACAGCTCCTATCCATACCTGATGTGGGACTTAGGTTAGACCCAGGAAGAACTTCCCTGATGGTGAGGGTGGAGAGACAGTAGCCAAGAACAAATGGAGACTGGCCTTGTCTAGGCTTGGCCATCTGCTAGTTCTCATGAATGAATGCTGATTCCCACCTATTGCTTTCTTGTCTGAACCTCTTGTGGTCACAGCAGGCATCACCCACCCACTTGGCACTTAGTAGGGATATAGCAGGGCATATAAAACAAGCATGGGCTTTGGAGTCAGCCCTGAGTTCAAAACCTGATGCCATCACATACTATCTGTGTGGTCTTGGGTACTTAACCTTTGTGAGCCTGACTCCCTGCAAGAGGAAGACCTTCATCACAGGATGAATCTGGGGCATAGGAGGCTAGATAACAGTGCCCAGAGGCATCATGTTCATAGCCCTGGAACCTGTAAATACTGCCTTCTTTGGAAAATGAGTCTACACAGGTGTGATGAAATAAAGGCTCCTGAGAGAGTGGGCTTATCCTTAGCAGGTTGGGCCCTAAATGCCATCATACATCTTTTTTTTTTTGAGACTCGGAATCTTGCTCTGTCTCCCAGGCTGGAGTGCAGTGCACAATCTTAGCTCACTGCAACCTCTGCCTCCTGGGTTCAAGTGATTCTCCTGCCTCAGCCTCCTGAGTAGTTGGGATTATAGGCATGCACCACCACACCTGGCTAATTTCGTATTGTTAGTAGAGATAGGGTTTCACCATGTTGACCAGGCTGGTCTCAAACTCTTGACCTCGTGATCCTCCCCTCTTGGCCTCTCAAAGTGCTGGGATTACAGGCGTGAGCCACTGTGCCCAGCCCATCACACATATATTTATAAGAGGAAAGTAGATGGAGATTTGGCACAGACAGAAAGAGAAGGCACAAAGAGGAGGAGAGCCAATGTGAGCACGGAGGCAGAGACTGGTGATGGCAGCCCCAAGCCAAGGAATGCCGGCAGCCCCTAGAAGCTGGAAGAAGTGAGAAACATGTCCTCTCCTGGCGTCTTGCAAGTGAGCGCTGCCTGCTGATTCCTTCCATTCAGCCAGTAGTGCTGACTTTGGACTTTCAGCCTCCAGAATTGTGAGGGAATATATTTCTGCTGTGTTAAGTTCCCAAGTTTGTGGTATTTCATTATAGCAATCTCAGTGAACCAGTACATGAGGTAAAGAGGTAACATCTATGAAAAGCACGATACAGGGACACAGCAAATGTGAGCTCCTTTTCCCTTTGATTCAGTTACTTACAGGCTTCCTGTTTTCTTCATAATCATTTCTCTCCCTGTGTGATTGTTGACCCCTCATCAAAACTGCAAACTCATACAGGATGGTGGATCCTCTAAAGAGGGTACAAGATGAGGTACCTGGGGCCCCTGCCAGTGTCAGGCCCCCCAATCTCACTCTGCTGAGACCTCCCCCAAACCCAGGGCAATGACAGCATCTTCATCATCTCTGCATCCCCTAGGGCCATCGGCTGGAGGGAAAGGTACTGGCTCCCTTCTGCTTAATTGTCAGACAAGCAGTTGAGTTAAGAAATCCGTGATTACTGTATTATTGACTATATACAGCACATTTTGGGGCTCTATCTAAATAAGTCTGTCTCTTTAAAAAAAAAAAAGTTAGCTAAAGCCAGGCATGGTGGCTCACACCTTAATCCCAACACTTTGGGAGGGTAAGGCAGGCAGATCCTTGAGCTCAGGAGTTAGATCCTGGGCAACAGGGTGAGATCCTCATCTCTATAAAAAATACAAAAATCAGCAGCAGGGCATGGTAATGTGTGCTAATGGTCCCAGCTACTCAGGAGGCTGAGGTGGGAGGATCACTTGGGTCCAGGGAAGGTGAGGCTGCAGTGGGCCAAGATGGTGCCACTGCATTCTAGCCTGGGTGACAAAGTGAGACCCTGTCTCTAAATAAATAAATCAAATAAAAATTTTAAAAAGTTAACTTCCTCATCTACTGGCCTGTTGACCCTCTCCCACCAAAAAAAAGGAGAGGAAGTGAGGAGGGAAAGGGGAAGGAGGAAGAGGAGAAGAGGAACTGAAGCAGAAATTTCGTATCTGTGGCCCAAGAAGCCTGATTTTTTTAAAAAACTAAAGAAGCTGATCAAGGATATTTGAGGTAGGTCCTGTGATTCTTTTTCTTTTTTTATTTCTGGTCCTGTGATTCTTATCAGAGAAGTGAGCACCAAGGCACTAATTGCATGGACTTTGTTTAGGAACATATGAATAGGCACAGTGTGGGAGGCCAAGGGGTAAAGCAATTAGTGTATGAGCCACATTTTGTCTTTTGCTCTATATTACTAATAGTATTAAGGGTTGATAACAGTGGACTAATTACTTTAGCTACTGAAGGTCTATATTTTTCATGTATCAAAGATGACATTTTTTTGAGATGGAGTTTTACTCTTGTTGCCTAGGCTGGAGTGCAATGGTGTAATCTCAGCCCACTGCAACCTCCACCTCCCAGGTTCAAGTGATTCTCCTGCCTCAGCCTCCCAAGTAGCTGGGATTACAGTCATGCACCACCACTCCTGGCTAATTTTGTAGTAGACGGGGTTTCTCCATATTGGTCAGGCTGGTCTCTAACTCCCAACCTGATCCACTGGCCTCGGCCTCCCAAAGTGCTGGGATTACAGGCGTGAACCACCGCGCCGGGCCCAAAGATGGCATTTTTGAGGAATTCCTTAGTTGTCTGTCCTCCAGTGCAGGCTGGGGACATATCTATGTTTCAAAAAACACAGGAATGAACCACAGTTGGGGGCGGTGAGTGGCTGGCCCCAATTCTTACCCAGTGCCTCATTCTTACCTGTGAACATGAGCGGCGTGATGGTGGCAAAGGCAAAGACCACCATCCCCAGGATGTTGAAAGCCAGGCCAATCTCGGCCACCCAGGCGTCCACCAGGCAGTGCTGCAGAAGCTTCAGGCCCAGCAGGCTGGTGAGGTAGGGGAGATGCTGAGCTGCAGAACCGTAGCCGATTAGTTTGGAGTCCCAGCAGAGGGGTGTGCTCAGTTCATACAGGGTCAAGATGTCCTGGGCCCCAAAGTGCACAGTGATCACCACGAAGATGGCCAGTGAGTACAGGGCTAAATGCTTCCTGGACTTCTCTGGGGCTGGAGTCACATAGAGCTGGACAATGGATCGGTGGTGATGGAAAGTGAAGAGCCGGGCAGACTTTGGCTCTTTTAAGGTCTCACCAAAGCAGAAAGCTGCATAAAGAGTCATGGCTATCAGCAAGGCCAGGGCCAGCCAGAAGGGGTTGGCATAACCTTGGGCCCGGAGCCAGTGGCCCCCGAGGAGGCTTGCCAGCATCCCAGCCACCCCGATGCCAGCTTCTAGCAGGGCCATCCGGAAGGTGCGACTGTGGCAGGAGCTGACATCTGCCACGGACGCAAAGCTCGCAGCCAGGAGGCCACTGAAGTCGCCGAGGAGGGCACAAAGGATGCGACCCAGCACGAAGTAGCCGACATGGAGCTGCAGCTGCACCACAAAGACGGACACTAGGGCCTGGAGCAGCAGGCCCAGCGAGGTCAGCACCAGCAGCGGGCGGCGGCCCACACAGTCGCTCCAGGCTCCCAGCAGGGTGGACGAGAAGAGCCCCACCAGGAAGCCGCCCACGTTCATGTAGAGGGTCCAGTGGGAGGTAAGGGTCTCCACTTCCTGTAGGGGCACAATGACCAGGGTGCGGTTCCTCACTCTAGGTTGCCCAACCCCCAAATCCTCGCCATCCTGGGAACTACGGGGATGAGGACTTTCTTTGGAGCCCTAAACCTCAGAGAATCTTAGCACAACTTTCCAAAATCTGCCAGTGGAGAGGTGTAAGGACATGGACCAAGGCCCCATTCCCTTTCTCCCCCCACTCCCTTTTGTCAACCTGCAAGACCAGATTTTAACTACATCAACTTTTCGCACCCCCTAAGCTGAGGTTCCGGATCAGGCCCCTTGGCTCTGGTCCCGCCCACCATCCAAAATGCACCCTCCCTCCAGTTACCCACAACTACCATTATGCAGGCCCCGCCCCTCCGCTGCCCCCACGCTCCAGCCCAGGGCCCTCCCGCTGTCCAGCTTCACGCCGCCCCGCTACCTGCATGGTGGGATCCGAGCTGCGGTTGCTGCAGCCCCCTCTGTGGCGGGTGCCATTGTAGCCGAGGTCGGCGCTGAAGCGGTGCCACAGGTACTGCGTGGTGAGCGGGCCCTGCAGGACCAAGGCAAAGTTGGCCAGGAAGACCAGCGGCTCTACGGGGCCCCGGCACAGCACTGCAGCTGCGGGGCGGGAGCGGGGCTTATCAGGGGGGCTCGCGCTCCCCTCCATGTGCAAGCTTGGCGGGGCTGTAGACCGGCGGGCGGAGGGAGGGCGCGCTGGCGACTAGCCGCCGGGGACCAGCGACGCGTAGCGCGGGGCTTGCGCTCTCTGCGCCTGCGCCCGGCGTCCCTTCTTAAATGTCTAGCGGGGAGGGGCCTGGGACCTGAGGCCAGCGGACTCTCGCCGGAGGTGCTCCTGGCTGGGCGTGGGCCGGCCAGGGGCCCCGCAGCCCCTGCCCCCAGGGTGACCTCATCTGTAAAGTGTGCATAGACAGCGCCCTGCAGCTCTCCCTCCCGGCCCAGACACACCACAAATAACAAGAATATCAATAATTAACATGTATTGATCACTTACTATATGCTGGACATGGTATTAAACCCTTTTTGTGCGTTGGTCTCGTGATACCCTACAGCCTAGCCACTATTAACGATCGGGCAATCTACCGGTGAGGAAAGAGGTCATCGGGTACTCAAGGCAGAGCTGGAATAGCACAGGACTCCTGATGCTGCTGATGTGCGCTGTCACAGAGAGGCAGGTGGAGAGGATCGGAGTGCAGCTGAGCCCAGCTGCCTAGGCTGGAACACCTAGGCTCTGCCACTACCTTGGGCATGCCACTTACCACCCTGAGCCTCTATTTATTCATTTGTAAAATGGAGTTGCTAACAGAACATGTCTCCAAAAGTTGTGAGAAAACAGTGTCTGGTATATTTAAAAGTGCTATTATTGTTATTTACAGGCTGTCATGTCTGGCAGTGGTGGCTTACACCTGTAACCCCAGCACTTTGAGAGGCTGAGGTGTTTGGATCGCTTGAGCTCAGGAGTTTGAGACCAACCTGGGCAACATGGAGAAACCCTGTCTATAAAAAATACACAAAAATTAGCCGGGCGTGGTAGCCTGTGCCTGTAGTCCCAGCTACTCGGGTGGGTGGATCCATTGACCCCAGAGGCAGAGTTTGGTTGGAGTGAGCTGAGATCATGCCACTGCACTCCAGCCTGGGTGACAGAGCAAGACCCTGTCTCAAAAAATAAAATAACATTAAATTTAAAAAAAAATTTTTTTAAGGCTGTCACTTGCTTCACTCCTGCCCTAGGATCTTTTCCTGGGAAACTCGTCGTGTTTCTGGGGTGAGGCAGGGCCTGGCTTAGCAGTTCCCTTAGAGGAGAAGGTGGTAGAGGGCCTGACCGGCCCTTGGGTGTGACCCTATGCTCCTGGGTGGCTCCCATTATAGGAATTAGGCCAGAAGGCAGTCACCTGCTCTGCTGCTGAGCTGGCCAGACTTTGTCTGGGTCTGTTTTGTTGCCTGTAAAAATGAACCGCATTACCTGCCTTACTCCCCCATCTTTTATTTATTTAACTCATTTACTGAGTGCCCCTTATGTGCCAGGCACTGTGCTGGGGGACTCCGGGACCACAACTGTAAAGGAAATAGACAAAGCCCTCACCAGGCCCGTTAGTTTCTAGAATGGAGGGAGAGGGAAAACAATCCAAGAATCCTACTAATTGGTATAAAATTTCAACCATGGAAAATAGTTTCAAACTCCAAAGGTGCTAATTCAGATGCTGGGCATGGGGGTAGGGGGAGCAGAATCAGAAAAGGCCACCTTCCCTGAGAACAGAGGAGCTGAGTGGGTTTCTGGAGGCAGGTCTTGACAGGCCTAATTCTTGGGAGGATGGATAGCTCCATTTCTGGCCACTGTGACTGTGCCTGGGCTTGTTGGAGCTTGTTAACTACTCCACCTCCCCTGAGCCAGGAGTCTGAGACTCAGGATACGTAGGTGCTGGCTAGAAACTAGTGGACTAAATGACCTCCCCCTGCAAGCTGCCCCCCATCTGTAGTCCCCTAGAGAGAGGAAATTCTACGTTAAACATTCAAACCTCTGGATTGGCTCCCCTCCCCTCCCTACCCTCCTTACCTCTTCCTCCCATTATACAAAAGCTTGGCCCAGTTAGGTCAACTACAGTGAGGGTGGGGTTAGGAGGGGAGGAGGAGAAGGGAGGGAAGGGAAGGTGTAAGTCCTTGTCTAAATCCTTGGAATTATTTCCTGGATAAAGAACTAAGGCTAGGAGAGGAAAAGATCCCTCCTCAGAGAATGGGACGGGGTGTGGTTCATCCCAGAACCAGAGCCTCCAGTACCCATAGGGTAGAGGCCTTTCTAAGTCCTTGAAAACAGCTGCAATCAGATCACAGGCCTGCTCAAAACCATCCTGTGCTTTCCATTTTCCTCAGTGAGAGCCAAGTCCTTATAAGGGCTCTAAGGCCACCTGCCTCTTCTCTGTCCCTCTCCCCTGTGCTCAAGCCATGCTGGTCTCCTGCCTCAGGGCCTTTATACTTGTTCCTTCTACCTAGAATGTGCTTCTCCTGGATATCCACCTGGCCGGTTCCCTCGCTTCCTTCAAGTCTCTGCTAAAATGTCACCTGACCCTCCTATATAAGCAACTTCCCACCTCCTGGCACCCCCTAGTCCTTTACCCTGTTTCATTTTTTTCCATAGTATTTACCTGTCGGGGTCCGGCACATCTGCCGGGGGACTACCGACCCGCGGGAGTCCCCGAGACCGCCAACGTAGATGTCTCGTTCAACCTGAGAGAGAGAGTGCGCGGGAAAGAAAGAACACAGAAAAGTAGAGTCTGGAGGGCTGCATGAAGATTATGGCCAAAACGCAGCAAATTTATTTTTGTGGGTTACAGCTTTTATACCTTTTGTCTTGTTTACATTTACCTCATCTCAGCAGAAAGAAACAAAGGGGAAAACAGAAAGGAAACAAACTCCATAAAATAGATATCCGGGGCTTGTGATATCCTGCTCAGGAAGCAGTTTAAGGGGGCTAGTGGTAGTAGTTTACATTTCAATGATTTTACATTCCAAAGATACAATGGCACCCTTAAGGTGGCTGGTTAAACCTGTTTTTCATCAGGAGCTAAAACAAAGGCTTGGCTCCAGGGAAAATATGGGCAGAGGTCTCTGCTCCTCTTAGACATTTCAATTGCAGCAAGTTTATTGCTTACACAGAGACTGAAGGGGGACATGGAAGCAGACAGCACAATGTCCTCATAAACTGCAGGCCTTTGCTTTGCATTCTTTTGTTGCTTTTAGTGAGTCAGCTTACGGCCCTGTCTCACTCGACAGCCCTCGAGGTGAGGAAATGCAGTACAGGTCCAGCAGCCAAACTGGGACGAGTCAACTGTCTCGAGCCTTTGGCGCGAACACCACATTTACCACCATCTGAATTATAACTTTCTGCTTTCTCTATTTCCATCTCCCTTTACTAGAGGTCATGATGGCAAGGACTTTATTTTGCTGGGGATATCACCACCATATCCCCAGCACCTAGAATAGTGCCTGACATGTGGTAGATGCTCAAAAGACAATGGTTCAATGAACTCCTCTCGGTCTCAAGAGAGGAGATTGCACAGCTGGAGCCCCAGAGCACGTGGAGAGAGTTGCCCACATTGAGCTGCACTGTGGAGTCCAGCGCCCAAGAATCTACACCTAGAAGGAAGCTGAGAAATCACATCTCCACCTATCCAACCATTTGAATGACAGGGAAACTGATGTCCAGAGGGAAAGGTGACTTACCCAGAGACAGCTAAAAGGTCCCGCCTGTCAAATTTCTAGAGGAAAGAAGAAGCAATCACAAAGGAAAAGATCTGCAGACTTATTTCCATAGAATATAAAGTCTTCATTCAAAGGCAAATGATGAACGAAGTAGGACAAGATCTTCCTTTTAAAATATGACAAACGTTACTATTTTAACTATGTTTGATAATAACCTGAAGATCCCTCCCTCAGTAAACAGTTAGATAAAAACCAAGCACTGAGAGGTTGTAACGCAGAACATGCATGCGAGACACACAAGCGAACACTTCTCCAGCTTCCGAATAGTGAGAAAACACTGCGCCTTTCAGCTTGTTCTTTGCAGCCAGCACATTAGCAATGATTTTGCTTAAAATGAGAATGCTCAAAGCTGGTAAGGCTACAGGGAAACAAACCCTAATGAAGGCCTATAAATACACCCTTTCAGGAAACAAATCTGGTAGCCTTTAATCAAGACCCGTAAAGTCTCTAACTCCACATTTGGGTCTCCATCCAAAGGAAATACTCTCAAGTACAGAATAAAAGCCTTAGGTGCTAAGATATTCTCCATAACATTATTGACATGAGTTAAAAAAAAAAATAAAGATAAACAACCTACATGTCCAACAGTGGCGAAATCGCTGAGCAAATTATAGTCTATCCACTCCAGGAATATGCATCATTAAAATGACATGTTCAAAGAGAGTATAATAATATAGAAAACTGCTTACATAATAATTTGTATGTAGAAAAAGTGTCGGGGTCCAGCACGTCTGCCGGGGGGCTACTGACCTGCAGGAGTCCCCGAGACCACCAACATAGATGTCTCATTCAACCTGAGGGAGAGAGTGCGCGGAAGTGAAAGAAAAAAGAAAAGCAGAGTCTGGAGGGCTGGCTTAGGCTATGTCCAAGTAGCAATTTTATTTTTGCAATATGTTCTATTATATACTTTTCTGAAGTTAATGTTGTTTACGCCAGATCAACATACTTAAGTTACAGTAAGCAAGTTATGCCCACTAAGTTACACCCAGTAAGTAAGTTAAGCACAGTAAGTAAGTTACACCCAGCAAGTAAGTTATGCCCAGTAAGTACTTAACAATTGTAAGCAAGTTACAGTTATGCCCAGTAAGTTATGGTAAATAAATTATAGTTACGCCCAGTAAGTTATGGTAAGTAAGTTACAGTTACACCCAGTAAGTTACGGTAAGTTACCAAGTATAAATACTTAAGTTAATATTTTACAATGAAGGTAACAAGGGTCCAAAATGAACACAATCAAGCAATAAACCATAAGGAGCCGAAAGTGGACACAGTGCCTCCCAAGTCCTCATACCCATAAAATAATGTCTGTTAATTATTTTGAATAGCATAGTCCCTCTCTCGGTTCCTGCTTTCCCTCAGCTCGACTCCCCCAACCGGGGATCTATGTCCGGGCTCAAGCTCACCGTACGGTTAGGCCCATTTCCTAGGGGCCTCACACAGGAGCGATCCCCACAGATCCCTCAAAAAAGCAGAGAACTTGGTCATAGGCATAGAAAAGAATTGCACTGGA